TTTGAATGCAAGATCTGATAAAAGAAAAACTGAAGCACATTTAGATTCTAAAAATTTAAAAATTTTTATTTTGAAAAACATGAGTATTCTGCAATCATGAACAGCATGGAGGTAGTGCTCTTCCCGGAGGGGCATGGGAAAAACACTTAAAGAGTAGTTATGGAAGCAGGACCGAGGGCCTGTGCTCAGCTGGACCTTGGTGGTGGTTTCTGATTGGACCTGTTTCTAGTTTCAGTTTCCCGTTTACAGTGGGCTTTGGTGTGTTCATGTGGGAATTCACAGTGTCAGAGCCACCCCCATCTAGTGGCTTCCCAGTGAGAACTTTTTTCTACCATTCTGTTTTTTTTCTAAGAGAATTATGGGTTTAGCTCTTATGTTTAGGCATTGATTTATTTTAAGTTAACGTTTGTATGTGGTGTGAGGTAGAAATCTGTCTTCATTTTTTTGCATATGGATATACAATTGTCTGGCACTGTTTGTTGAAAGGACTCTCATTCTTATCCCATTGAATGTTCTTGGCATTCTTTTCAAAATCATGTGGCCATCGATATGTGGGTTCATTGCTGGGTTCTCAGTTGTATCCCATTGGGTCTATGTGTCTGTTTTTTTTTTTTTGGGGGGGGGGTACTTCTCTACCACTGAATTACAGTCCTTTTAATTTTTAAAAAATTTATTTGAATTTTTATTATTAATATTTTTTAGTTGTAGGTGGACACAATAGCTTTATTTTGTTTATTTATTTTATGTGTGGTGCTGAGGATCAAACCCAGTGCCTCACAAGTGCTAGGCAAGTGTTCTAATACTGAGCTACACCACCAGTCCCCTTTTAATTTTTCAATTTTTATTATTTTGTGATGCTGAGAATCAAACCCAGGGCCTCACTCAGGCCAGAGAGCTGTTCTACCACTGAGCTACATCCCTAGCAGCCCCCTCCCTTTTTTTTTGATTTTTGAGACAGGGTCTCACTAAGTTGCTTAGCACTTCATTGAGTCACCCTGGCTGGCCTTGAATTTATGATTCTCCTGCCTCAGCCTCCCAAATTGCTGGGATTACAGGTGTGCACCATCACGCCTGGCCTACATGTTTCTTCTTATGCCGTATTCACATGATTTTGATTGCTCTAGCTTTGGTGAGTTTTAAAATTAGGATGTTTCAAATCTAGAGATTTCCTTCAACTTTGTTCCTCTTTTTTGATACTGTTCACATTGTAACTCTGTGAAAGTTTTATAATTGGGAGGTTTCAAATTAGGTTTTCTTCAATTTTGTTCATCTTTTTTATAGTGTTTTGTTTAATCAGGGCCCCTTGCAATTCTTTGTGGATTTGAAGATTTTTATTCTATTTCTGCAAAACTAACTTTGATAGGGCTTGCATTGGATCTGTGATCATTCTGTTAGGACCGATATCTTTTAAACAATATTCTAATTCATGACATGAGATTTCCTCCCATTTATTTAGGTCTTCTTTAAGAAACGTTTTGTCATGTTTGGTTTACAAATCTTTTACTTTCTTAGTTAAATTATTCTTGGGTATTTTATTTTTTGGATGCGATTACAAATGGAGTTATCTTAATTTTCTTTTGGATTGCTCACTGCTTGTGTATAGAAACAGGTGATTTTTGTACATTTTGTACCCTAGAACTTTGCTCACTTTGTTTATTTGCTTTGGTAGCTTTCTTGGTGATTCTTGGGATTTTCTATGTTTAGGATCATGCCATCTGCAAATACAGGTAAATTTAACTCTTCATTCCCAATTTGGATGCCTTTCATTTGTTTTCTTTTTTCCCCCTTTCTATACCTTGTTTTTCTTCTAATTGCTCCCCTAAAGTTTCCAGTACAGTGCTGAATAATGTTAATAAAAGTGGGCTTCCTGACTATGCTCCTGATCCTAAGGAAAGCKTTTGACCTTCTTTCCTGAGTGGGATGTTAGCTGTGGGTTCTTTGCAAGTGTGTCTTGCCATGTTGAGGGTGTTTCCCTCTATTCTTACTGTCTGGTCCTCTGTATCAGTGGAAACAGTCATAAGGTTCCCCCTCTGTTCTTATTGATGTCATGTATCACATTAATTTCAGTGGTCTCTAGATATATTTCTTTTTTTCTCTTTGTTTTAGTGCTGGGGATTGAACCCAGGGGTGCTCCATCACTGAGATGTATCTCCAGCCTTTTTWAAATTTTATTCTGAGGCTTTTAAAATTTCTATTTTGAAAAATATTTTTATTTATTGGAGGCAGCTTGCCTGGGACGTGGCSGCTCCATGGTGGCTTAGTTATAGAGTGGCTGAGCGTGGCAACTTAGGGACTTGGGAACCTCCTGGCTCGCCTCTCCCATCACTGGGATTGTAGGCATGTGCTACACCAATGGCTGGTGTTTTTCTTTGTCATGTCTTTATCTGGACTTGGCAATACCGGTCCCAAAGGATGAGTTGGGAAGCGTTGCCCTTGTTCTCTGTTTTGGAAGCCTGAGGAGGGTTGTTGCTGACTCTGCGGATGTTGGCAGGGCCCACAGTGTGCCAGATGTTGGACTTCTCTTCCTGGGAAGGTTCTGATTTCTGAATTGCAAACTTTGGTTGTCACAGGTCTGCGTAGATTTTCAGTTTCTTCTTGGTCTGTTTTGTTGATTTGTTTTCATCTSGGAATTTGTTCATCGTATCTAGCTTATCGGATTTTTGGGGTGTTAGTCAGACAAGAGCAGCTCTGAGAAGGAGAAGTGTTTTGGGCTCGTGGTTTCAGATGTTCAGTTCATATCCGCTGACTCCATTTCTCTGGATGTGAAGTGAGGCAGAAAGACCATCAAGAGGAAGGACRTGGTGGAGGAAAGCTTCTCAGCTTATGGCAGCCAGGAAGCAGAGAGAAAAGGCCCCAGTGAGTGAGGAGCCAGAGACAAAACCTAATCCCTCAGGACACGACCCCAGTGACCTCCTTCCTTTAGCCAAGCCTGGTGACCACCCAGGAGTTCAGTCAAGTTACTGATCCGTCCCATAGACGTGTGTATGGATTCGGTTTCAGCTCTCAATTATTTCTCCAATTATTTCACCTTTGAACATTCTTCATTGTCTATGGCTGAGCTTTTAGGGGGACACCTTATACCCCAACTGTAACAGTTAGTAGGCAATTATTCATAGCATTATCTTGTAGTCTAATGCTACAAATATTTCTGGTTTTAGCTGATTTTGTCCATCTTCTCTCTTTTTCAGTCAGTCTAGTGGAAGTTTTGCCAGTTTTGTTGATACTTACAAAGACAATTTTTCATTTCATTGATTCTCTATTAGTTTTCTATTTTGACTATCTCTGCTCTGATCTTATTATTTCCATTTCTCTAGTAGCAGTCCTTCCTTTTGCTAGGTTGGTTCTTTTTCTGGTTCCTTAAGGTAGACAATTAAGTCATTAATTTAAGACTTTCCTCTTCCTTTTTGGTCCTAGAGATTGAATCCAGGTCTTTGCTGTACCCACAGCCCCATGCCTTTTTAAATGTAGATGTTTATAGCTATAAATTTACCTTCAAGTGTTGCTTTGTTGCATATTATCACGTTTGTTATGCTGAATTTTTGTTTTTGTCTCAAAATCAATTCTAATTTTCCTTTTCTTTTTTGATGTGGTTGTTAAAGTGTATGGTATTTAAATTGGGCATGATGGCGCACACCTGTAATTCCAGCTACTTGGGAGGCTGAGGTGGGAAGATCTAAGTTTGAGGCCAGCTTGGGCAACTTAAACCCTGTGTCAACTGGATTAAATCATCAGTCTTCTGTCTGTCTTTCTCCCTCTCCCTCTCTCTCTCTCTCTCTCTCTCTCTCTCTCTCTCTCACACACACACACACACATACATACACACACACACACACACACACAGGTGTGGCATATAATTTTCATATACAGATTTTCCAGTTTTCTTCTATTCTTTATTTTTAGCTTCATTTGATTGTGCTTGAAGAAGATACTTTGATTTTAGTCTTTAAAATGTATTGAGATTAGATTCATTTTGTTGTCCAATGTGGGGTCTATGCTGTTCCGTGTGCACTTGAGAATTCTCTAGTGTGCTCTCTGCTGGGTGGGAGAGCCCACATGCCTGCTAGGTGCACGGCTTAGGTTCCTCTCTTCACTGCTCTTCTCTCCAGGGCTCTGTCCACTAGGAATCGCAGTGCTGGCACCTACAGCTGCCCTGGTGACTGCCTGTTCCCTCTTTAACCATGCCACTGTTGACTTCTGATAGTTTGGTAGTCTGTTGTTTGGTGCTTATACATTAATAATTATTAATCTTTGTAATTAGTTGAGCCTTTTACCATTGTTTAATTTCCTTTGTCTTGTTACATTTTTAAATTTTAAAGTTGTTTTGTCTGATGTTAATGTAGCCTCCCGGCTCTCTTTTGGTTGCTATTTATGTGAGAAATCTTTGAACTCTTAACCTATTGATGTCTTTGGATCTAAAGTGATTTTCTAAGTATCATATGGTTGTATCACATTTTTTAGCTCATCATCTATTTCTAATAAAGTTTTATTGGAACATAGATATACCCATATCTTTATGTATTTATTCACACTACTGTGGCAGAATTATAGAGACTATATGGCTTTCAGAGAAGCCTGAGATAGTTACCATCCATTTTCTTATGGTAATTTGTTGAAACTTGGTCTTTTTCAGTTTACCTGGATACAGTTAACCCCTTAAATAGTCTTGCATAGCAGTGGTCTAGTAGAGTTGRTCATGGTTAGCCTATTTTGTGTCTACTGAAGCTCATGAAATGAGAAACTGACCGCAGATCTGGGCATACCCAAGCCTCATCAGGCTGAGAGGATAGCAGCTATGTGTCCCCGAAGCTGGAGGTAGAGGCAGCTTGCCTGGGATGTGGCCTGTCTATGGTGGCTTAGTTATAGAGTGACCAACTGTCACAGTTTGCCTGGGATTGAAGCAGTTCCTAGAACACAGGATTTTAGTTTTAAAACCTGGGCAAACTAGGACAGTCGGTCACCCAGCTGGCCCTTCAGAGTCTCACTGTGCCCTTTCACCCCAGTACCATTCAGGGAAACCCCCAGCTATGCGAAACGGCGGAGACTGGCTGGCCCCAGTGGCTTGGCATCCCCTCGGCCTCTGCAGCGCTCAGCCAGCGACATCAACCTGAAGGGCGAGGCACAGCCGGCAGCCTCTCCTGGGCCCTCTCTGCGAAGCCTCCCCCACCAGCTGCTGCTCCAGCGGCTGCAGGAGGAGAAAGACCGCGATCGTGATGGTGACCAGGAGAATGACGTCAGTGGCCCTTCAAGCAGGGGCAGCCAGAGCAAGATCAGGTAGGAGGGGGCTGGGAGGCCCTGGTGGGGCAGGGTGCCAGCACTGGGCTAGGTGTGGCCGTGGGAACAGGGAGAGGTGGTGCCTGGCCTTGGGGCTTGATTTGAGGACTCTCAGGGCCTGGACAGGCCTCCCTGGATGGAGGAGGGAGGAAGGTGAGGCCCTGTGGGCTGGGGCAGGCTGATTGACACTTGTTTCTGGTTCAAGCTGGGGCTTGCTCTAGAGAGTGGACAACTGAGAGGGTGTGGTTAGAAAACTCACTGCAGTGTCAGGGCTGGTCATAAGTGACTGTGGGATGCCTCTTCATGAGGCTCAGAACCCACATGGGACAACCAGCCCTGTCTCCATGGTGTTCTGGTGTCCCCAGTCCTGTACACCTAGAGAACTCTTTACCACCCCCTGTGCCCCAGGACACTGAGAAAGTAGGGAATTTGAGGGTTTTGGAGTCCCCAGGACTTACAGTAGGAGGTGTGGACTGCAGCCTGTTGAAGCAGCAGGCTGCACAGAGGGGCTTGGGGTGCCGTTGCTCTCAGATTGCCACTGTGCTGGGTTCCTCCTTGGTAAGGTGGGATAATCTCATCCAAGGCATTCCCTGGAAAAGCCTTCCAGGGTGCTGTAGAGGCGTGTCTGCTGTGACCCTGATGCACGCATGGGCAGCCCCTGCTGGTTGTGGTGCCTGTGCTCCTTGTACCTTGAGAGCAGGAGTTGTCTTTGCTTCCCACTGTTTTCCAAGAGCCAAGCACATAGAAGGTGTTTGAAAACATTGTTGGAGGAAAGTATTATAACAGTGTGTTGTTTTCTGATGGCAGCTAGCTCTTAGAATCCTATCACTTGGTGCACCATTGAACAGAACAGCAAACGTGTCATCTGCATTCACTTCAGTGACTTATTAGACTGTGCCCCTGTGCTGTAGATGGGGGTCCTGATGCCCAATTTAGTTCAGAAAAGTCATGGGASTAGGAGTTGGTTACCTGGGCCCAGGTATTTGGCAGAGGGCTTGAGATCTAGCAGGAGCTCATGGAAGACTTTGTTTCTGTACTCTTGCCCCTACTCATGCAGCCCCAACTCAGTGTTGACTTCAGTGTCTGTTTGTTTATGCCTAGACTTGCTGGACCCTGAAGGCTGCCTGTCTTGCCCCAAATTGCCATTCTCTCCTGAAGTTTTCACATAACCCCTTGGGCTTCTAAGGGGCAAATGGCCCTGCGGCTGAAAGAGTGCCTTCAGGGTGTTGCCACTTCCCAGAAGGGCTTCTCCTGAGCCTGAGCCCTGTGGCAGCCGCAGCCTCCTGCACCTGCTTGTGTGTTCATTCACCCTTTCAGCAGGTGCAAAACAAAGACTTGCCATGTCATGACCCCAGCTTGCGGCTCTGGAGGATGGCAGGGTTCTTCCCTATAAATATCGGATAGGTGCCTGTGTCACATGTGTTGGGAGCTAACAAGAGGGGCCCCAACTGGGTTTTAGGACAGGGAYAGCTGGGCCCAATATAAAGAAGCAATGAGGAGGGCAGTGACCTAAATATTGGACTGCTCTGGTGAGTGGACAGGGGTCTGTGGCCCTCAGGAGGGGGATCAAGGAAGTTTGGTGCACTCAGGAAGGACAGCGTCAGGGCAGAGGAAACCTGTGGTCAATGGCCAGAGGATGGCTTTTGTGTAGTGGTGTGGGGTTCTGAGCCCCCTTGTTGGCTGAGCCTGGCGTGTAGTCCCTGGAAGGCCCAGAAATGTTATCTTCAGGGTCTGGCCCCAGTACCATACAGCTGAACCTAGAAGGGTGAGTTTGGAGGAATTTGGAGCTGAGAGTGGGTAACTTAATTGCCAGCAGAATGGGCAAGATGAGAGTAGTTTAGTTGGTTGCAGTGTGGTGAAGGGCTCAGAGCAAGGAGAGGGAAGGTGCCCACGCGGGAGGCTGGAGCATAGTAAGTGCTCTAGTCTGGGAGAACTTGCCCTGTTCGGTGCTAGGGAGCTAGGTCAGGCTTTTGAGCAGAGTGGAGGTGGAGGATTGAGACCTCAGGCTCGGTGCCCAGGTCTGAGGAATGGTCTGGAGAGGGTGGTGAGCATGCAGTAGGCAGGGGCAGCAGGGGCAGGTGTCCAGGACGAGAGGACACAGGCCCGGAGGGAGGGGATTGGGGCATAGGGTGTGAGGAGGCCAGGCTCCCAGACACGCTGCACCCCTCCCTGTCCTTCCCCAGCACAGGCGTCTATTCCGGTGCCCAGAGACCCGCCCAGCCATCCCCTGCGCCCACCCAGCAGCCACACTGGCCCCCTCACGTCGCACCCCTGCTGGGTCCGGCGGGGTCCGCGAGGGCGCGGGCTAGCTGGGCGGGAGTCAGGCGGCCGCCGCCGCCCGCAGAGGGAGGAGCCGGCGGAGGAGGCGGGGCGCGGGGCGGCCGCGGCATGGAGCGAGCCCGGCGCGCCCGGGAGCGCAGCCCCGCGGCCCCGGAGCCCTAAGCGGGCGCGGCTCGTGCGCTGGCGGGAGCGGGCCGGGCGCGGCGGCGCGGCCCATGGAGCGGCCCCGGGCCGGGCCCCCGGCGGGCGGGCGGGCGGCGGGCGGGCGGCGGGCGCTGCGGCGGCGGCTGCGGTGAGGCCGGCGGCGGGGCCGGGCCGTGCGCCATGGAGGCCCCGGGCGCCGGCTTCGCGTGCCCGCTGCCCCCCGGCATCGCGTCCGTCACCTACGTGTTCGTTTACAGCCCCAGCGGGCCCGGCGGCCCCGGCCCTGCGCCCGGTCCGGGCCCTGCGCCCCCCGCGTCCCCCGCGCCGCCGCCCCGGGGCCCGAAGAGGAAACTTTACAGCGCCGTCCCCGGCCGCAAGTTCATCGCGGTGAAGGCGCACAGCCCGCAGGGCGAGGGCGAGATCCCGCTGCACCGCGGCGAGGCCGTGAAGGGTGAGGGGCGCGGGGGGGCGGGGCCGGCGTGGCGGAGCCTGGTGGTCGCGGGTGGGGGTGGCCCCGGCCTGGCGGGATGAGCCCTGCTGGCTTCTCGTGTCCCCGTGAAGGGCTCTGGCCCTTGGACTCCTGTCATGTGGCTCTGCTTGTCATGATAGAGCCTCAGCTCTTGTCATGGGTGCTTCTGTGTCATGATTGGGGCTGATGTCACCAGGTCCCTGTATTTGAAGGACCCTACTATCCCATTACAGGGCTTCCTGGCATGTGTCACTTCCAAGGCTTCTTCCATGGGAATTCTAGGGATATGGTGGGGCGCTTGTCATCCTGGGGGAGACCTGACAGTTGTGGGTGTCTGTGTACTATGAACGTTTCTGTCATGGAGCTGTTTCTGGGGGTCTGAGCCCCTCATCTTGGGGGTCTGTGTCATCACCGGGCCCCTGCCTCCAGTGTTCTGAGGCAGAAGGCATGGGAGCCTAAGGTGGAAGCAGTTGTGAGGGCAGCCCTCCTGGTACCTCATGTGGTTTAGCCCACTGGCCAGAGCACAATGACCCTGAGCTCTTGGCTGTGACCTCTGGGTGGGTGTCAGAGCCAGGAGGGTGGAGGGACAGTGGTCACTGGGGACACGAGCAGGAGTGGCCCCTGCCTCTGCCTTCTGTCCCATCTAGTGTGTCCATCTGTGTGTGTCTGTCCCCCACATGCTTGTCCTGTGCCGAGCCCATCTGTTCCTTTCCCTCTTCCGTTGGGTCCCAAAATCTTCCCAGGGAAGAATCTAGGAGGATGTGGGAAGAGAAAGGGAGCCAGGGTGAGGGTTATGGGCAGAACCTATTCCTGAGGAGGCTGGGAGGCCACTGTCCTGCAGCTCCCTACTACTCTCACCTCCTGTCTGGCTTCTGTCTCTCCAGTGCTCAGCATCGGGGAAGGCGGCTTCTGGGAGGGGACCGTGAAGGGTCGCACAGGCTGGTTCCCAGCTGACTGTGTGGAGGAGGTGCAGATGCGACAGTATGACACGAGGCGTGGTGAGTGACCTAGGCCCCCAGGCAATTCCTGAGGACACYGCCCTTCCAGCCTCCCTTGGGTCTCTTGGGCACTAAATCTGGACCTTCACAGAGGAAAGACGAGGAGTGCATTCAGACACACCCAAAGTAGATGGAAACTTGTGCACATAACAGACACAGTGTGTACACAGTGGGTTATGTGTGCATGCAACCTGGTACCGTACAGGCCACAGAAACGCCTGTGATATGCCCACAGGAGGCACACCCTTGTGACCATGCCTCTGTGTGAGTGATCCCACACGTGACTTCCGTGACTGTAACCACCCCTCCTGCCTAGTCCTCACAGAAATACCAGGTGCTAGGAGCTTGCAATTCATGGGTGGCTGGCAGACCAGTAAGGAGGTCAGTGTGAGAAAAGAGGCGTTTTTCCAAAGTGGACAGATTGTCCAAGTGGGCAGAGCAGGAGGCCTGGACTAGCCAAGAGGAAATGAGGCCAGTTGGGCCCCAAGGGGCAGTTGTAGGTACCCTGGGGCTGTGGTGGTCTGAGGGCAGTTGTGAGGGATGGCCCCTGTCCTCAGCAAGAGAACCATGTGAAGATGAAGGCTGCAGCTCCTAGAGGTGGAACGGCCTTAGTCCAAGCTGCTGAATACCTGAGCTTCTACAAGGGCCCCCTCTGGTCCTCTGGTAGATTCGGTGGCTGGTCCTTTGGAGCTCACTACACGGGCCGGCGGCAGGTCTGGGATCTGACTTTGCAGTGAGCCCTCAGAACCTAGGCAGACCCATGAAGTTACTTCTGGCCCAGAGAACTAATGGGACGAAGGAGCCCCTCCTGAGTGGTCACTAGTAGTTGCGTTCTGTGTCTGGACCTAGGTATTTATTTCCCTCCTTCTGCATGTGAAAGAATTGGGTGTAGGGTTGCTGGGTCCCCTTCCCTGGTGTGAGTTTCCCAGGGGAGCCCATTCCCCCCTGTGGCCAGTACCTCGGCCCTCTGCCCAGCTTGGCAGAGGCCTAGGGAGGCAGGACCTCGGCTGCTGGTCTATTGCTGGCTAGCCTTTGCTTTCTCATACGGCTGTTCCCTAACTTCCTGAGGTCTTCCTGGTAGCCCTTCTGGAGTGTGGAAGGGCCTGGGTCCCTGCTTCTCTGTCTGTGAAGGGTGGGTGTAGTGGGGYCCAGGTGGGAAATGATTTTAGAGATCTGGGCTCTGGTGGGACTGGACAGGAGAGGAGGAAGGGTGGTATCTCTGTGCCCGAGGCAGAGGAGCCGGTCCTGTGCTCCCCCAGTAGGTCACAAAGGTTCTAGTTTGAAAACTGTGGATACAGGTACATTTAGACCTCAGTCTGAAACTTGGGAGGGAGGGAACTCAGGAGCAGGTGTTCACTGGTGTGCCCCATGCTGCACCTAGGCTGGCTTCTCAGAGGCCTGGCCCAGGCATCAAGCAGAGCAGGCATGCCCGGCAGCCAGGTGGGTGTYCTGTGCCACTGTGGTGGGGCCTGTGGGTTGTCTTGAAGGAGCCAGAGAGGGTGTCCATGTGCGTCAGGCCCAGACAGTGCTATAGAGCCACACATGGTGTCCCTCCATGTACCTGAGCAGTTCAGTTTTAGTACTTCATCCGTCGAGTGGTGGACAGCAGTCCCAGGAGGCGGGGCCATTTTTACTCGCCATTTCTAAGGGAGGCCTCAGCYTGAGGGTAGGGTCTTTTTGTTCCATAGGCAGGCAGCCTTGTGAGGGATGGCAAGGCTCAAGTGGGGAGCCTGAAGCCAGTCGTGTGGCTTTGGGGTAGAGGGAAAGGATGGTGTGGTGGTAGGAGTTGACCAGGCCAGGGCTGCTTGATTGTGCAGGTATTTTAATGTCAGGGTCAAGATCCAAACAGGACAGAGCTGTTAGAAGTTCACAGAGAAGAGAGAGAGCCGCGGAGTAGCCCGTGTGGGGACCATGGCCCGAGACCTGAAGGCAGCCGCAGGGCCTCTAGGTGGAGCTGCAGAGGAGGGTGTGTAACTGGGGAAGAGGTGTCAGAGGTACTTGGGTAGATGGGAGCTCCTRGGGCTCTGCAGAGGCAGCTTGCAGGCAGTGGGCAGGAGCAGTGGTGGCCTCCCTCTGGCCTGAGCTGCAGGCCCAGTTAGCCACTCTGGGCAGAACCTCCCACTGGGACTCAGGCTTATTTCTGCTAGAGGCCAGAGAGCAGATTAGCAATAGGAACCTGCTTCCTGCAGGCTCAGATTAAAAAAAAAAAAAAAATCTGATTCAGGGACCAGAGTGGGGACAGAGAAGGACTTATAGGCCAAGGAGGGGACACTGTGCTGAGGAACACAGGCCTGTCTGGTGTCCAGGGTCAGCATTTGCTCCAGGACCAGAAGACAGGCACTGAGCAGAGGTGGGCTTCGTGTGGCACTGTTGCAGGCTCAGGGAGTTGAACTGTGAGGACAGTAAATGCTGAGGCCAGTTTGTGCAGGGACCTTGAGGTCCAGTATGCTGGAATGCTGCACTGTCCCTCCCTCCCCGCCCCTTTGATTCTCATTTAGGGGGCTGTTTCTGGATGTTTTCTCTCCAGCAGATTTTCATGTGTCTGATTGACAAAACCAGAGAATGAATTTATAATAAATACTATGTGTTTGGTTGACAAAAAAACTAAAAATGAGAGGTTAGTCCATAGCTAGAGGCTAGTGAATACAAGTTTGGGGTCCTTTGGCAAGCAGGCAATGTTGATCAATATGACGGTTGACCTGGAGAGGAGTGTGGTGAAAGCCAGGAGGGATCTGAAGCCACATGTGCATGGTATTTAGGCGTGATCTATGCTGACTTCTGAGCTTCAGAATGGACAATGTGGGCATGTCACAGGGGGACTCAGCCACAGCAAGTGGGTATGTGCGTGGAAGGGGCCAGGGTGATGAGAATACAGGTTACTAGAACCTAGGGACCCTCCAAGATAAATCTTCTGGCTCTGTAAGGAGAAGCTCCAAGGAGATAGTTGCCTCACTGAGAGTCTTGCCCTTATGGAAGTCTGCCATGCCTGAAATCTGGACCCGTGCTTTTCTTCACATCCATGTCTTTTTTTTTTTTTTTGGCAGTGGGGGTGTGGTGGTGGTGGTACTAGGGATTGAACTCAGGGGCACTCGCGCACTGAACCACACCCCCAGCCCTATTTTGCATTTTACTTAGAGACAGGGTCTGAGTTGCTTAGCACCTCACTTTTGCTGAAGCTGGCTTTGAACTTGCAATCCTCCTGCCTCAGCCTCCTGAACCACTGGGATTACAGGCGTGTGCCACTGTGCCAGTTAATAGCCATGTCTTCTGGTGTGAATAGGAACTCTTTCTCCTCCTATCTAGCTTTGGCTTCATCTCTGTGGGTATCTGCTGCATCTGTCCTTTGACTCAGCCAGTCATCCCCTCCACCTACCGCCCACCCCTGTGCACCCATCCCTTTCAGGTGACCTACCCAATCTGCCTGTGCCTCTACTGATCATTCATCAATCCATTCATCTCTCTATCAACCCATCCACCCATCCACATCCATCCATCCATCCTTCCACCCACATATCCATCCATCCATCCATCCATCCTTCTCTCCATCAAGCGACCCAGATCATCTGTCTGTTCATCATCCATCTCTCCATCAACCCTCTTTCTTAGTCCATCCATCTGGCATCCATCCGTACCTATATGTCTCTCTCTTTAGCCCAGCCATCTCTCCTCTCTCTACCTCCACCCACCCATCCATTTTATACATTCATTCATTTTTTTCTGTCCATGCAGTATAGATCCACACACACACCCAGGTAGTTGAGCACCATATTCTCCTGCTGTTAGGTGCCAGGTGCTGTGCTAGGCACTGGGACCACACAGAGAATAAGATGTGGTCTTTTCCTTCAAGGAACTCACAATTATTGGGGAGACAGGTCACAAGACATGGTAGGTTCCCTCTGATCTCATCTCTGGTCACTCTCTGGCTCCCTTTGCTCCAGCTGCATGGTGTTCCACACTGTCCCTCCTACCCTAGGCTGGTGRTCAATACCTGGGCTCCACCCTGATAGCCCATGCTTGGAGGCCCTCACCCCACGTCCCTGAGCCTTTGCTTGGCTGTCCTTGCAGGCGAGGCCTTCTCGAGATGCCCTGGAACCACGCTGTCTCTGCATACTTGATGTGCTTTCTTTGCTCTTGAGCACTTGCCAACCTCTGATGTGTTATATATTTGTTATTTATTACATCTATTACAGAATAGCTTATTAACTCCACAAGGGCAGAAACTTTGCTCTGTTCTCTGCCGTGTTCTTAGAACTAAAACAAACAGGGCCTGGTGTATAGTAGGAGCTCAATAAATACTTGGTGGAGTTAAAAATGAGTCTTGAGAATGCTGTAGTAAGAGAAGACGAGGGAGGGAGCCCCTGGAGGTAAGATGCGAGGCAGTCGGGGTGCCACCCGGGGTCTTTGGAGACCTCAAGTGTGGAACCAGAAGCATGAGGAACCTGCCRGAAGAGCCAGCCTGGAGCCCACCTGAGGTCCTGGTTGGCAGTGTGGGCCAGACTTTCAGGAGACCAGCAAGGCCCAGGGGGCAGCTGGCAAACCTGACCACTTCCACAGTGGCCTCGAGGGACTTTGAGATCAAAGGACAGATGGGGATAAACTTCCATGGGATGCAGTGAGGGCAGGGAAGGGGGACCCAGCTTCCCCCCTGAATCTTTTCCCACATTTCAGAGGCAGGTCTGCAGCAAGGGACACCCTAGGGGTGCACATCAGGCCTATGGAGGAGAGTTCAGTGCTGTCTCCAGGCTGGTGCACGCGGTGGACAGCACAGCTCTGCATGGGAGAGCGGGTCACATACACGCAGTTGTGGACTGGCACCTGCTGAAGTCCACTCATGCTCGTGCCAGAGCACAGTGCTGCACACTCTGCTGGTCACAGACACAGCGTGAGCACCGCATACACATGACCGGTCTCACACGCACCCTCAGGCTTTCTCCTGTGCTCACTGACTGGATGGCCCTGGCCTTGTCTGGCCTCCTGTGGTCAGCTGTGTGCTGTTCAGGAGAGAGAAGCCCTGGCGGCTACCCACTTGGGCCCTGGCTGCCAGAGGCCAGAATTTCCTGCCTGGTCCCCTTAGCCTTCCTGCCTCAGACCTCTGGACCCAGGACCCCAGAAGTTGGGGTCCCCACTTCCATCTGGGTACAACCAGGCCCAGGGTGTGTGTGGACAGAGTGTGAGCAGCTTAGTCGAGAGCAGTTCAGCCAGTTGGAGGTCATGGCCATTCCTCAGCTCCTGATACTCCCTCCAGAAACCCGGGAGGACCGGACGAAGCGGCTTTTCCGCCACTACACGGTGGGCTCCTATGACAGCCTCACTTCACACAGGTACTGGCAGGTGGGACAGGGTATGGACCCACAGGGACACTGGTGGGGCCTGGCAGGTGTGGGGTGGGACGTGTGGTGAGAGGGAGGGCCAGGGTGCGTGGAGATTGGAGGAAGGTGAGGACCAGGTGCCTGGCCACCTCTGCATTCTGCAGTTCAGGTCAGCCTCGGGCGATCCTGGGATGATCTGTGCCGTGGGACCCTGTGGGGTCAGCCTGGCTGCCCTGCTCCCCAGCTGCCAGGCTAGCCTTACCCCCCGCCCCCTGCTTTCCTCCGTCAGTGACTACGTCATCGATGACAAGGTGGCTGTCCTACAGAAACGGGAACACGAGGGCTTTGGCTTCGTGCTCCGGGGGGCCAAAGGTAAGGGTGTGAGTGCTGGGTATTCTCTGTGTCCTGCTGCCCGCTGCCCACTGCCTCCCATGGCTCCTCCTGCCTCTGCCTGGGCTCTGGCTGTGTAGTGTGGGGCTCCCTGGGACAGGGCAGAGCCGCCTCCCCCACTGCTTCCCACTCTGCAAGGAGCCCAGCAGAGTGGGGACCTTTCTGGTCGGGGAGTGGGGGTCTGTGCTGGATTCCTGGGCTGGGTGGCCCTGCCTGCTGCCCTCCCTGCTGCCCTCCCTGTCCCAGGTCATTCTGCCACAGTTGTCACATGTTCCATGAGCTGAGCTGTGTGGAGGCTGCTGTGTGCTGGCCGCCCCCACCGAGCCGCACTGGTGAGGCACCTTTCCTGCTCCCCTGCAGCAGAGACCCCCATCGAGGAGTTCACGCCCACGCCGGCCTTCCCCGCGCTCCAGTACCTGGAGTCGGTGGACGTGGAGGGTGTGGCCTGGAGGGCGGGACTGCGCACCGGAGACTTCCTCATCGAGGTGAGCCCCAGCCTGGGCCGGCACAGCCTGCTGGGGTCCTGGCCCCCACCACTGGGGGCGGGGGGACATGCTTGGCGCCTACCCAGCAGCCCCTCTGTCCTAGGTGAACGGGGTGAATGTGGTGAAGGTTGGACACAAGCAGGTGGTGGCCCTGATCCGCCAGGGTGGCAACCGCCTGGTGATGAAGGTCGTGTCTGTGACCAGGAAGCCAGAGGAGGACGGGGCTCGGCGCAGAGGTGAGGGCTGAGGTTCGTGGGCTTTGCCTGGACTCTCCCCTGGGTTCCTGACCCGAGCCCTTTGCCTCAGGCCCACCTTCCTCCCCCAGCCTGACTCTGGGCCACTGAACCTGGATGAACCTTGAGAGATGGAGCTCATTCAATACTTGATTGTAGCCTGGATGGCTTTCCAGGCTGGGTGTGAGCACCCTGGCCCTCTACCTGACCTCTGACCTCTGACCCCAGGTTGCCCCCTCAGATCCCTTCCCCCCCTTTCCTGGAATCCCCAGCTCCTGGCCTGGCAGATCCCTCCTTCCCCGACTCTGCCAGCAGCTGCCTGGAGGCCGGGGTTGCTATGGCAACTGTGAGGTTGACGCTGCTGCTTATTGTCGGAGGGAAGGGGGAGGCGGCACCTGAGGGAAGAGGAAAAGCGTCTTCTCCCCGCGCCGCCGCCGACACTGCACAGCCGGGCCCAGGAGGCCTTGCCACCCGGCCCAGCCCAGGCCTTTGGCTTGGCTGGTCACACCCTGGTTCTCCAAGGGCAGTGGCCACCAGGCCCCTGGGGGAGCTCTGGAGCAGCAGGAGCCAGCCTGGCAGGAGACCCTCCCCACCCCCATCCCATGGCGCCAGTGCCCCCTCACTGGGTCCTCAGAGCCGGCAGGGTGGGTACTCAGACGAGAGCCAGCTGGCACCCTGACCCCCACTGGTACCGTTAACGGCCTTCTGAGGCCTGGGCTCTGGGGATCCCCAGGGCCCCAGAGGCCCCCACCACCCCAGCCCCTGCCCTCCCTGAGCTCCCCACGCCATGAAGAAGTTTGCATCCAGCCGCAGCCTGAACAAGATCCTGGCTCAGTGCGACTCATCCTCACGGGAGTACGAGGAGATCCAGGCGGTRGAGCGCAAGTGGCACCTACACCTGGCCACGCCGCGCCGCCTGCTGCTGGACAGGAGGTCCAAGGCCTCCCTCTTCTTTGCAGCCCCACCCCCCCCGAAGAGGGCTCCCAGCACCACACTGACCCTGCGCTCCAAGTCCATGACTGCCGAACTCGAGGAACTCGGTGAGCACTGGGGAGGCCCTTGGCTTAGGTCACCAGGCCCAGAGAGGGGTGGGCCTAGGCTGTGTGGGAGGCTAGGGATGCTGAGCTGGGGCTGAGGTCAGGCAGGGACAGGAGGAAGGACCGATGATGGGTGTGGGAGCCGACAGAGTGYTGGAGGGGTGGGTGCCTGTGGGGCCAGGGCATGGCATGTGGAAGGGCTGGGCATGGGGCTGAAGACAGACATTGGGATAAATTGGACAGATGGCAGGGGGCACGGTCTGACCCTGCAGCGTGTTTGCACATGTATGCATGTATATATGCATATGCTGCTCCTGACTTTCCACGTCTTACTCTGACTTTGCATCTGCATTTTTTCCAAGTGAGGAAGGAGGAGTGGTTGGGGAACCTGGGTGTGTTTCTGGCTCTGCCAGGTCCTGGCTGGGTCGCCTCTGTGTGTGTGTGTTACTGTTGCACCTGTATGCATGGTGGTCAAGTGAGCCTCTAACCTCCAAGGCCTCTGTGAGCACCTCTGGCAGGTGATAGGATGGGGCTTCGTGGACTGGGGGGTGAACAAGAGTGTGTTGGGCTTGGGTGGGCAAATTGCAGGCACAGCCCCAGATCACCCAGCTCGGTCTGGGTGTGTACTCATTAATAGCCTTGTTGTGAGCATGTTGCAATAGACATGATCACGTCCACACATATGTAACCTTGAAAAGCTCTGTTGTGGGCAGGTCTCCCCTGCATGACCGTGTCTTGTGTGTGCAACCTTATTGTGGTCATGTGCTGATGCACAGTGCTGTTGAGAGCCCTGTTGTGGTACATCCCAGCCAACAGCAGCCCCGCCATGAGCACATTCAACACGGGTGACAGTTGATGTGCTCTTCCCTTCCAGTTGGAGCCTAGTCCCTATCCTAGGCTCTACTCTGGCTAGGGTCATAGAAGAAATCCTTCCTCTGGCCCCCAGAGATGTCCCTGTACTAGCTCATGGACTGGGCCCTGACCCTGTCCTGGACACAAGCTTGGCTGTCCTACTCCAACGGGCACTCTTGACTGTGGTTTAGTTCAGTGTGGGAAGCAACTACCAAGATAGACTGGGCTGACATGGTTGGGATTTGCTTTGCCTAATACTCTGGATAAAATAAAACGAACACACACATATACAGACAACTCAAAAAAAAAAAAAAGAAAGAAAGAAAGAAAGAAAGAAAGAAAGAAAGAAAAAGAAGAAAGAAAAGGAATCCCCAGGTCTCAAAAATGAAGAGAGAAATCAAAGCCAGTAGAGTTGGGGAAGCTGATCCTCCTACAGTCTATGATTGGGATTTCTGAAGCCCCTATACAAACTCAGATCATGAATGGGCTCCCTAAGGAAAAAGCTCCAGTAGGATAGGGCCCTGGGCAGTAGTGCATTTGTYTTGTCCCAAGACAAACTCTGACCCCAGGATCCTTTTGTGAGGCTTTGTAGCCAAGAGAGCAAGCTTGAGCCAGAGTGATGAGAGGCCCCCAAACCAGTCCATTCCCTATGAACTCAAGCTTGGAAATCGAAATCTTCAGCTCTCCTGGAAGACACAGCTGGCTGTGGGTCTGTGAGAAGTGGGAAAGCTGGAACTATGCACAGGAGCTAGAATTAGCACCAGAAGAACTCGAAATCAGAGGAGTATGAAAGAGAATAAAGTAAGATAATAGAATTGAAAGAACTAAGGAAAGATAAGAAGACAGAACAACAACACAAAAGAATAAGCACATTTAACAAACATCCATGAAGACTTGTTATGGAGACAAAAAAAAATATAGTGCTAGATTAAAAAAAAAATCTGTGGCTGGGATAAACAGTATATTAGACCCAGCTGAAAAAAGAAACTGAAGGTAAGTCTGAGATCACTTAGGGGATGGAGGCAGAAAGCAACGAGGAGGAAGAGCCCAGCACCTATCTGTTGGGAATCCTAGAGGGAAAGAACAAAAACAGAGGCAATATTCAAACARTAAGTAGCTGAGAATTTCCCCAAAGTGAACAAAGATGTGAGACTCCAGTTTGAAGAAGTTCCAATCAGGGAAATAGAAATAAATCTATGTCTAGGTTGATCACAGTAAAGCTTCAGAATACCATAGACAAACAGAAAAGTCTTAAAAACCACCAGACAGAGAGAGACAGAGACAGGAGAGGAGGGAGTAGTGGCTGAATGACAGGCTCTGGGTAGCAGCAGTTGGAGGCACAAGACCTTGGAGGTACACACTTCTGGTCTCAGGGTCCTGTGGGTCTGTGGTCAGTCACAGAGTTGACCTGACCCACATGGGTCCATCAGCCAGCMCAAGGAGGCAGTTGTGTCTGGTTGGACAGCAGGTAGAATGGGTGAGTGCAGCCGCCTGTCAGAGGCTGTGTGTTTGGAAGGGGTCCTCTTGGTCTGCACAGATTGATTGGGGCAACTGAGCACTGACCCAGGGAACCAAGGACTCTGCACTGTGAATATGGAGTCACTCCTCCGTCTGGCACGGGTTTCTCTGCCGAGTCCACTTGTCCTGCCTTTGTTAAAACTCCTGAGCTGCTCTGCCTACAGAAACAGTGAGTGGAAGAGGCAGATCTTCCCCTCTGTTCTAGAAGCCACAGGGAGAGGTTATTGGGTTTGCTCTGCAGACTTTGGTGGTCCAGAGAAGCTCACTCATGGCATCCGGCTTTCCTGATCGGAGTCTAGGGGAAGACAAGAGGGCAGCTTGGCCCAGAGCCTCTGCCTACATTTTTTAGCCTAGGATCACAGTTTCTTTTGAATCTGGACCCAGATTCTTCCTGGAAAGCCAGTGGCGTGGGGAGCCACCTTGCTTCCAGAGGACAGCTGTTCTAGGAGGCAGCCACYTGTGACCAGTCCCCTCTGGAAATTCATGGTTCGTGGAAGCAGGCCAGCAGTCGAGGTCCCCAGGGGCTTGAGATGCCATTCCCAATCCAGAACTTGTGCTTTTAAGAGGTGGACCTGAGAGGTGTGGGGTTGCCACCAGTCATAACACACRTGTCCTGCCTTCACACGGCCAGGAGCTAACCGCCCTCTGGACTCTGGGATCCTTTACCACGACCAGAACACCTGAAGAGAAAAGTGTGCCAGGTGATGGGGAAGTGGGCTGCAGCTCATGCTGAAGTGGCTCCTGCCAGGTGGAGTATGAGGCCAGGTCCTGCTGGAGGACGAGGAGGAGGAAGAGAAGGAGGAGGAGAAGGGGGGAGGGGGGCTCCTGGGAGTGAAAGCTGGTCCCGGGAAACACAGGTTGTAGTAGTGGGCAGATGTGGGGGTGACAGGAAGAGCAAGAGGTAGTAGAGGAGGAAGCACAGAGCACTCCCAATTCCTTTCCTTACTGGGGTTTCCTCACCCGAGACTCTGCTTGTCCTGATGTGAGTGGGGCCAGAACTCAGTGGAGACCCCAGCTCTGGGGGAGCTGGCAGGTCCCAGCTAACTTCTGTTCATTCATGACTTTGTTAGGAGAAATTAGTTCCCTGTGACCACTAAGTTTCTTTTTCTTTGTGGTGAGAGGTTGGGGTAGGTTCCCTGCCCAGTGTCCCTGTCACTGGCCTATCTGGAAAAGGTCTCCCTGCTGAATATGCTTGTCCTGCCTTTTGTTAAAAACTCCTTTTGGGGCGAGGGTGCAGCTCAGTGGTAGAGCACTTGCCAAGGCCCTGGGTTCCATCACCAATCACCCACCCCCATGCCCCCCACACACTCAAGCCCTACTCTGCAAAGAATGCTCAAGGGTAACTATCAATTTCAGTGGCCTCTGAAATTAAATTTTTTGGGGGATTTTGCCTTTTTCCTAAATAGACAGTTGACTGGACCGAATATGGTTTAGTTTTGTACATCATTGTGTATGGTCATGTCTGTACATACACATGCACATGGACTCATGGGTATGCATGTGTGTGCATGTGTGAATGGACTTGTGGGTGTGTAYGTGTGCTCATGTGTGCATATGTGAGTGGACTTGTGGGAGTGTGTGTGCATGGTGTGCATGTGTGACTGGACTTGGTGTGTGTATATGCATGTGTGTGCATATGTTCCTGCTTGTGCTGGTTTTCGCCTTCTTGTTGTAGGCCACATATTAACCAACTGGCATTTGAGCAGATTTGTGCTCATGATAAGGAGGGGGACGCCAGGGGCGGATCTGTGAGGGCCGGGTTTTGGGGAGGTGGGGTTTGTAGATATGGGGACAAGGAATTGAATGTGGAGAATGGGCCCGTGTGCCCTGGGATAAAACCTGCCTCTTATTCCCTTTGCTCTGTTTCTTGATTCCAAGCCTCCATTCGGAGAAGAAAAGGGGGTAAGTCATCTGCTTGTGTCCCCAGGCCCAGCCTTCCTCACGCCTGTGGGGAGCACTGGTGTATGAGACTCCAGTCCAAGTCTGGGTGGTCTGGCATCCTGGGCACACCCAGGATTCTCCCGGGGGATCTGGTAGTGGCATGGAGAAGGGCTAGGAAGGATGAATGGGGAGTCCCTAGAGTTGTGACTCTCTGGGATATGCTAGGGAGGCACAGCCAGGCACCCTAGGACTCAGGGGAGCTGGGGAAGGTGGGAGCTGTGGGGGCAGCCTGGTGGAGAGGAGCTAAGATAGTCCCTGGTGGAGGCCACTGCATGTGCCAGGGCCTAGAGCTGGAGAGAAGAAGGGCTCTGAGGGATCCAGTCTGGAGTTGGAGAAGCTGGGTGACTGGGCAGTGTTAGGATGGGAGTGGGGGTGTTTGGCTCTAGCTGTGTTGCATCTTTTTGCARTCCTCTAGGGGCTGCCTCTTCCTGGGTTGTGGGCCCTACTCCTGTGCTGGTTGTTTGCAGGGCTGACTCAGAGCTGACAGTCCCTTTAGAGCAGGGATCTGGGGTCCCCTGCCAGGCTGTTGACTTTGCTACCCCCTCTCATGCCCCGTCCTAGTATCCTTTCAAGCTTGTATGTCCAGCCTGGCTGCAAGGGACAATATCCAGGTCGCAGCAGAGTCACTTGGGCCTGGGTACTGAGGACCAGTGTCTGATGAGCTCTTGGGCCTGGCTTCCACCGCTGCCTCCACTTCTTAYACAGGGGGAAGCCAGGCCCAGACGGAAGCCTAGTGGCCCTGTGGCCCCATGCATGGTATCTATAAACATCCTCTGAGTACCTAGCATCCCTCCATCTACCGCTCTCTATCCACTGGCCCCCAGCCCACTCCTCTCTCAGGACTGCAGCCCTGGGCTTCCCCTGCCCCAAGTCTCCTGGTCTGTTGTCCTTTCAGGTATTAAAGATAGATGACAAACTCTCTCCTCCAGGACTCCTTTCTGTGCCTTTGGGGCAGACAGACAAAGCTACTTCTGGGGTATTCTGGTTCTGCCATCCAGTGGTAGAGGTGGGCTTCCAGGGTGCTGTGGCCTGTGTACCTCTCCCAGCTGTGGAGGAGCTGGCAGGAGAGTTGTCACACTACTTGGGCCCCAGCGTGTCCTGCCCCACACCCAGATGACCCTTGTAGGTGGTTGGTGGGAGTGCCTGCACCTGGTTCCTAGTGGGCTTCATTTCCTTTTTTAAGTATCAAGAATAATTTATTCAAGAGTGTGTTTTCTAATTTGGTTGGGAATTTATCCCAACCTCATCATCTTTTTGTCATTTGCAAAATTTGGGGGGACTRAACCAGAGATTGAACTCAGGGATACTCAACAACTGAGCCATACCCCCAGCCCTATTTTGTATTTTATTTAGAGACAGGGTCTCAATGAGTTGCTTAGTGCCATACCATTGCTGAGGCTGGCATTGAACTCACGATCCTCCTGTCTCAGCCTCCCAAGACACTGGGATTACAGGCCTACACCATCGTGCCCAGCCATTTGCAGAATTCTTGATTTCTTTCTTTTTGAAAGTAATTCTCACTTGGCCTCAGCACCTCACCTCATGAGCCATAATAGTTGCTTTGCTATACTTTGTGGGCACATTGCTTTGGGTCCCTGGGACTAGGTTCTCCCACAGCCTAAGTGGCAGCACATCTTGCTAGGAGGAAGGGCTTTCCACCCGGTTTACTTCTGTGGTTTCTAGATGGTGCGGCAGTTGACTGCCCTCTTATTGGGCCTGTGATCTGGGAGAGTCTCTCTCYGTTTCGGTTTGCTCCTGGTAGGGTGAGGGGGATAATGGCATCGTCTATATGCTGGCTGTGGCAGATAAGAACCTGCACATGCTGGATATCACCGAGGACTTGTTAACACAGGAAGGCGATGGTGATTTCACCTTTGAAAGGAAATTCTTCAGTCCACTTCAAAAATAAATGGGAAGATCCCTCATCTAGCCATCCCTGGTCCGGGAGCCACTCTGGGGGTTTGTGTTGGGAGGAGCTGGTGAAGGCCTGCACACAGCTGGGTTCAGGAGACAAGGTGCCTTTTGCCTCTGATGGGCACTGAGTACCTGCACTGGGTGAGTGCAGTCGTGGGTCCCTCTGCAGGGATTCTCCCTGGAGCCGCTGCATGGTACCTGGCTGCGCTCGGGCCTGTGGTATCTGGTGAGGGCCCCGACTCTGGGCAGTCAGTGTGCAGCGTAGGTCTGGCCTGGGGGCGGTGGGTGCCGGACACTTCAAGAAGCTGCCAAGGGGTGGCCGGTGGAGCCAGCAGGCGTGACTTGAAGCCACAGCTTGGGGCTGGAAGGAGCAGRAGGTGTTCAGGATGAGCATGGGAACCCTTCATCAGGGGCAGGTGAGAGTGGAAGCAGGCCAGGGCCAGTGCCCCCCACCCCAGGGTAGGCCTAGCCCTTGAGAGATGAATAGGACCAGGGGATAGGAAGCCTGAGGGGATGGGTAGGGGTCTGTGAGGCCACCAGAGGAGAGGGCTTGTGCAGCTGCCAGGTAGACTCAAGTGCTTCCCCAGCCCCTTCTGTACCCTGAGGCTGGCCCTGAGCAAACTCTGAGATACAGCTGAGTGGCCATCTCCCYGTAGCTCTGCGCCCTCAGTCATGTTAGTTGGACATTTCCAAATTCTTTTAAAAACACTTCACTTTAATAAGGACAGCAAACAGATTTCCTTCTATTAACAGACTCGGAGAGAGGCCGCCCGGTACATCTGCCTGTGGGCCTTGTTCAGGCAGCAGCTCCATGTGGGTCTCCCCTGCTTCTCTGGCGCCCACTGCTTTCTGAGGGGCTGGGGAAGCCCCTTCAGTGAGGAGGATCCTTTGCAGCCATCCTGCTCTCCTCTTTGTTTCTTAGCATCCACTGTGGCTGGAACTGCTTCTCTTTGGCGTAAAGGAGGAAGACTCTGTGACCTCTTGATGTGTACTGAACCGTTTTTTAGATCCCCAGCCTGAGCCTTGTGGTCAGGCTGTATCCCCCACTTGGGCCTTCATTGATGATTTTATCACCTGTTTGAACGTCCTGTGGACACATGCTTTACATCAGAGTCTGTCACAGGGCTGTGGTCCCACTAGGAGCAGCTGGCCTTGGCTGAGGCCGTGGGCCAAGATCAGGCCCAGGACAGAGGGGAGTCAGGGAGTAGGGGCTCTGAATGGTTCTACCCCCCACCCGTGTTTCTTCCCTCGTGTCCAGAGTGGCCACTCCCGGAGTGTCCAGTGTGGCTGCTCCCCAGGGGCAGGTGGAATCTTGATGATAGGCTGGGGGGCTGGTTTGGGAGCATGAGGGGCTGGTATGGGATACAAGATGTAGTCCAGGCTGTGAGCCTTGGGCAGTGAGGTTGGGTCCCAGTGGCCGTGGTCAGCACTAGGGGTCAGGTGGGCCCCGGGGACCAGAGGCAGGTTGGGGGCTGAGGTGGCCTCTCCTCTCACTGCAGAGAAGCTGGATGAGATCCTGGCAGCTGCGGCAGAGCCGGCACTGAGGCCAGACATTGCAGACGCCGACTCCAGAGCGGCCACTGTCAAGCARCGGCCCACCAGCCGGAGGATCACCCCTGCTGAGATCAGTGTAAGCCGCCGCCGGGTGGGATACGGGGTCAGAGGGCCATGCGTCCTCTTTCTTGGGTCTCCTCTCTGGAGGTGGGAGAAACACCTCAGAGCTTTTTGGAGACTCTTGGGACCACGTCAGTCCCCAGGATGGCCAGTTTATTACCACTGGGTCTCCTGTGGCTGCAGCCTGCCTCCCTCCCAGCCCAGGCAGCTTCTGTACCACTCTAGGACCACCAGACCCCGGTCCTGGGGGAGGCTACCACCTAGCATGTCCTCTCCCTGACCCTTCCTGGCCTCCCTGGCACYTTCTGGACTCTTCCCCTCCTCCAGACCGTGCCTGGGACCTAGAGCCACCATCGACACTGCCACTGTCTGCACTGCCCACACAACCTGCTACCTGAGCATCGGGCCAGATTTGATTTCCGGCCCAGGCCATGGGTACCAGTGTTTTGGAGGGTGCATGGGGTGTCTCCAGTCTCTGGCTTAGGTGGAGGAGGGGTGGGGCTGAATGGTGCACTGGGGGCCTTCATGCCCTGGAACCTCCATGTTCCCCCCTCCCCGACCCCCACAGTCATTGTTTGAGCGCCAGGGCCTCCCAGGCCCAGAGAAGCTGCCGGGCTCTCTGCGGAAGGGGATTCCACGGACCAAGTCTGTAGGTATGGCTGGGCCGAGGGACTGCATGAGGCTGGGAGGGATGGGGCTAGGCTGGGTGGATTCAGGGTTGGAGGATGCTGCCTCTTCCCACCCGTGGCTGGGATTTTCAGTTCCTTGAGTCCCACCTCTTCCTGCCCAGACCAGGGGTCCCATTTTTGGACCTAAGTATGTCTGTCCTTCCATGAGTCCAGGGACAGGCAGCTGGAAGAGACTCTTGAGATTTCTTTCCTGGTCGGTGCCCACTGGATTCACCACTTCTGTCCACTGGGCAGCATCCCTGAACCCCTGGGTACTGCTGGTCTGTCTCATGTGCACTGGGTGCCCCCAACACCTGTCCACTGCCCTGTCCACTGGGTGTTCCCCTCCATCACTCTGCCTCCCACTAGCACCAGTGTCCTTGTCCCCAAATCAGCTACCTCCTATCCTGGCTGCTCCTCTTGTAGCAAGATCCAAGCAAAGGTCCAGCTTGCCGTAAAGCAGTCTCTCCTAGGACCTGCTCCACACCCACYGTGCCATGCGCACTCCTCCACCTCACAGCCAGTGTTCCTGGAAAGGCCTCCTGTATTGCCCTGAGCCTGTGTCTGATGAGCTTTCTCCACATCTACTCCCCCCGGGGCTACCAGAGGCCTCTGGGGGATCTCCCAGGGCACATACCACCAGGCACCTTCTTACCACTCCACTAGGTTTCTTGGATCCCTCCGCAGTGAAGCTTCTCCCAGGGTTTGGGCACAGTGCTTCCTGGATCTCCCTCCTCCAGCCTGCTCCATTCGGTCCCCAGGCCCTAACCCACTAACTGAGGGACCTGCTCAAGGCCCAGCCCTCTGCATCTTTTCCTTCTACCTCTTGTTCCCTGGTGGCCTCATTACTGCCCCTCCTCCACCACACCCCGTATGTGGCCACCTCCTTGACCCCAGGCAGGACTGTATCTCCATAGGCATTCAGTCTCCCTCAGCTGCCGACCTGTGCATCTGCCACCCACAGAGCTGCCCACTGTCCATCCACCTACCTGCGGAGAGCCACCAAACCCCAAAGCTTCCCTGCCCAGCACAGGGCAGACACAGCATTTATGCACGTGTTTCTCTCATGCTCTCAGTGACCATACTGGGGAACATCATTTATTTTACTGAAGCAAAGGGTTCAGTAAATTGACTTGCTAAAGGTCACACAAGTGTCCTGCCCATTGCCTGCTATCCATCCTGAAGCCAATCAGCTGCCCAAACTCCAGTCCCTCACCTTCCCCCAGGAGCCCTGCTTACTCTAGGTTGACCCTGGGCTGGATCTCAGGCTCAGGTGGAGAGGATGGGTCCTTCAGTTCCATGTGGGGTATCAAGGTACACATACATATGGAGCTAACTRGGGAGCTCCAGCCACCCTGGGGTGTCACAGAAGGTTGGTGGCAGTTTTGAGCTTAGAATGCAGGGTAAGTGGAAGTTTCCAGGGGACAATGGGGAAAATTGCTGACAGATGCCAATATGTAGAAACATGGGTATATGGAAAGGTCCTTCATGAATGGCCGAGAATCATTTCTGTAGATGGGAGAGTGGTGGAAGAAGGTTATTGAAACTGCAGCTACTTTGGAGCCAAGAGGTGCTTCTTTTTGCCCTCACTGGCCTAAGCCCTGGGGGTTCTCTATGGTTTCTTTCTTATCCTCTGCCTCACCTCATAATTTGGATGGGCTGCCTCCGCACATGTCTCAAGCTTTGCCCAGTACAGGCCTTATTCTTGCACCTGGACCACAGCTTTGTTCTCATGACCCCCAGCCCCCTCTGTGCCCTGACATCCATCCCTCTGGCAAAGGAGACTGTCTGCAGCGGAGTTATTACTGTGCATCCTTTAGCTTGACCCTTCGTGGACTTCTGGCCCCCTCCCTTTCCACCTCCCTCAGATCTGGGTCTTAACAGTCTTGCTACTGTCCTCCTGCTCTCACTCTGCCTGGATGGCCATCCAGTTGCAGGACTGACCACTGCAGGTCCAGCCCTGTGCATCTGCTCTGTGGGCCTTGAGCCTCCTGGCAGGCCTGCCGCCTCCTCTCACTGGGGCSCACTGGACTCTCTGAACAAGTGAGCTGACAGGTGCTCATTTTGGTCCCTGGCTTTTAGTTGCCAATTTGATCGTTGGACTGGACTGTCAGGCTCCCCCAGACTCCTCCCTGTGTCCTGTGTGGCCCTGGGCTCATGGTGCAACCCTTAGAGCCTCAGGGCCCTCATCTGTTAACATGGAGAACACCTGGTGCCTCCCCCAAGGACGACTTGGACTCACCAGTAGGCTGTTCCTGCGTGAGCTCCAAGTGGGTACACAGGGGCTTCCCAGCAGCGGCTGACCGTGGTAGATCAGACCCTGCATCTTGAGGCTAGGAAATGCTCTTGCTATGATTGGGGCAGAGAGGATCTACTTTGCTCCAGATGGCATCAGAACAGACTCCCATTCTGTGCGAAGGCAAGTGACTTTTCTTCACCTAACRCAGAACTTGGCATGCCATTAGCATTAAATCTCCCTTTTCATCCTCACATGTCACTGCCGCCTCTACACCCTCGAGGTGCAACTGTTCCTCCTGGGGAGCTTCCTCTAGTGCAGTCTTGGGGGTGTTCATCCTGTGTGCATGTGTCGTGCAGGAATGCAGCTGGGAGATCCAGACCAACTGGACACAGACTCTTTGTCCATCAGTGGGAGGGAAGACAGACCTAAAAATGATGATTCTTGGCCACCTTCCCAGGGTGCTGCTACCTGTCCAGCCCAACACTGTAAACATTAAATGGCCCTGAAATGGGCAGAGAATCCTTCTGAAATGAGACTGAATTCCTAGAGGTGACTGGTAGAGCTGGAACTCAAGCCTAGCCTGCAGCAGAAGCCCACCCACCCTTGTTATACCTGACCTGACAGAGCCACTGCACCCGGCTGGTCAGAGGCCTTGCTGATGACATTGCACGTCAGTGACTGAGGGAGGATTTAGCCAGAGCAGGCATCCTATCTTTTAGTGACTTCTTAACCTGCATGTGTCTAACACAGAGCACACCAGATGTGGTGTGCTGGTGTGGAGCTGCCTACCCCTCAGGCTGGGCCACCCAGCATGTGCAGCCTCACTGGACATCCCTGTGGGTGTCCACATTATGTCCCAGAGTTAGGAGGTTGTCAGGTTTTAGTTAGAATCCTCATGGCATCTACAGGTGGGAGGAGAGGGTTCATTTTAAGGTTACATAAGCCCATGAGAAAACAGGTTCAGAGGGGCTGGCCTGGGATTACACAGCCAATAGGGGCTAAAATGGAAGCATGCAGAGTGCTTGGCCTACAGTTCTATTTAAGTCACATACCCATCCTCCTCCCACCAACCCTTACTGAAGTCCAGCCACTGTGGTTATGTCAGCTGCCTCCTAGCAGCCCCGTCAGGCCCATCCATGCCCTGCCCTCCTTCTGCTGGATGCATGGTGCTCTCTGCCACAGCCCTGTCCCTGTCTGCAGCAGTGCTGTGCTCCCACCTTTGGTGGCCCCCAGGGCCAGGCACAGGTCCAGCTTGTTCCATTTGGGGTGTTTCGGAGCCTACCTTCCTCAGTTTTGCGTGGGAGCCCCTACCCCTGCAGGCCTGAAGCGTCCTCTTATGGCCTGATTTTTATCTACAGGCAGATTCAGGGCCCAGGCAGGGAGGGCTGAGGTTCTGTCCCAGAGCCTTTTCCGTGGGGGCTTCACCTGTGGCTGAACTGGAAGCACTCTCCTGGGCCCTAGCCCTTCCTACTTGTGCAGGGCTGGGTCTCCCAGGAGGAGCCCAGACTGGCCTCTCACTCAGAGTCCTTGCTGTGGGCTTCCTGAATCATCCCTGATGCCCTGCTGACCCTGACCCGTGCTCCTGAGTGGGAYGGACTCTGGGTTGGACCAGCCTCCATGGGAGGGGGCGCCGCAGTCCCCAGGGGTGTCTCTGAAGGCCCAGCGCCCAGGGCAGTCTCACCAGACCCTTCCATCTGCAGGGGAGGATGAGAAGCTGGCGTCCCTCCTGGAAGGGCGCTTCCCTAGGAGCACATCGATGCAGGACTCTGGGCGTGAGGGGCGCGGCATCCCGCCCCCGCCACAGACCGCGCCTCCGCCCCCGCCAGCACCCTACTACTTCGACTCGGGGCCGCCCCCTGCCTTCTCTCCACCACCCCCGCCGGGCAGAGCCTATGACACGGTACGCTCCAGCTTCAAGCCAGGCCTGGAGGCACGCCTGGGGGCGGGGACGGCCGGCCTCTACGAGCCCGGCGCGCCCCTGGGCCCACTGCCCTATCCCGAGCGGCAGAAGCGCGCGCGCTCGATGATCATCCTGCAGGACTCGGCGCCGGAAGCAGGTGACATCCCCCGGCCCGGGCCCGCAGCCACACCGCCTGAGCGCCCGAAGCGCAGGCCTCGGCCACCCGGCCCMGACAGCCCCTACGCCAACCTGGGCGCCTTCAGCGCCAGCCTCTTCGCGCCGTCCAAGCCACAGCGCCGCAAGAGCCCGCTGGTGAAGCAGCTGCAGGTGGAGGATGCACAGGAGCGAGCGGCCCTGGCTGTGGGTAGTCCTGGCCCAGGCGGAGGCAGCTTCGCCAGGGAGCCGTCCCCGACGCACCGCGGCCCCCGGCCGGGCGGCCTCGACTATGGCTCCGGGGACAGCCTGGGACTCGCGTTTGGGGGCCCAGGCCCGGGTGCGGGCCCTGGCAAGGAGCGTCGGCTTGAGGAACGGCGTCGCTCCACGGTGTTCCTGTCAGTGGGTGCCATCGAGGGCAGCCCCCCCAGTGCTGACTTGCCATCTTTGCAGCCCTCACGCTCCATAGATGAGCGCCTCCTGGGGACCGGCGCCACCACCACCGGCCGCGACCTGCTGCTCCCTTCCCCAGTCTCTGCTCTGAAGCCATTGGTCAGTGGTCCCAGTCTTGGGCCCTCRGGCTCCACCTTCATCCACCCACTCACTGGCAAACCCTTGGACCCTAGCTCACCCTTGGCCCTGGCTCTGGCTGCCCGAGAACGAGCTCTGGCCTCACAGGCACCCTCCCGGTCCCCCACACCCGTGCACAGCCCTGATGCAGAGCGCCCTGGACCCCTGTTTGTGGATGTACAGGCCCGGGATTCAGAGCGAGGGGCCTTGGCCTCTCCAGCTTTTTCCCCGAGGAGCCCAGCCTGGATTCCTGTACCTGCCCGAAGGGAGGTAGAGAAGGCCCCCAGGGAGGAGCGTAAGTCACCCGAGGACAAGAAGTCCATGATCCTCAGCGTCTTGGATACTTCACTGCAGCGGCCAGCTGGCCTCATCGTTGTGCATGCCACCAGCAATGGGCAGGAGCCCAGCAGGTTGGGAGCTGAAGAGGAGCGCCCGGGCACCCCAGAGCTGGCCCCGGCTCCCATGCAGACTGCATCGGTGACAGAGCCCCTGCCTAGCCCCCGGGCCCAGCCCCCAGGCAGCACCCCAACAGACCCTGGACCAGGCCAGGGCAGCTCAGAAGAGGAGCCAGAGCTGGTGTTTGCTGTGAACCTGCCGCCTGCTCAACTGTCCTCCAGTGATGAGGAGACCAGGGAGGAGTTGGCCCGCATTGGGCTGGTGCCACCCCCTGAAGAGTTTGCCAATGGAATCCTGCTGGCCACCCCACCCCCTGGCCCGGGCCCATTGCCCACCACGGTGCCCAGCCCGGCCTCAGGGAAGCCCAGCAGTGAGCCACCCCCTGCCCCTGAGTCTGCAGCCGACTCTGGCGTGGAGGAGGCTGACACTCGAAGTTCCAGTGACCCCCACTTGGAGACCACAAGCACCATCTCCACCGTGTCCAGCATGTCCACCCTGAGCTCAGAGAGCGGGGAACTCACCGACACCCACACCTCCTTCGCTGATGGACATACTTTTCTACTCGAGAAGCCACCAGTGCCTCCCAAGCCCAAGCTCAAGTCCCCGCTGGGGAAGGGGCCGGTGACCTTCAGGGACCCGCTGCTGAAGCAGTCCTCGGACAGCGAGCTTATGGCCCAGCAGCACCATGCCGCCTCTGCCGGGCTGGCCTCTGCCGCCGGGCCCGCCCGCCCTCGCTACCTCTTCCAGAGAAGGTCCAAGCTGTGGGGGGACCCCGTGGAGAGCCGGGGGCTCCCTGGGCCTGAAGACGACAAACCGACTGTGATCAGCGAACTCAGCTCCCGCCTGCAACAGCTGAACAAAGACACGCGCTCCCTGGGGGAGGAGCCAGCTGGTGGCCTGGGTGGCCTGCTGGACCCCACCAAGAAGTCACCCATCGCAGCAGCTCGGTGAGCAGGGCCATATGGGGAGGGACCTGTCCCTGTCTCCTGTTCCTCCTATCCACTCACAGGCTCCTCTGTTCCTCCTCATTCTGTCCCATCTCACCTGTCCCATACCCCAGTCATCCATCTCTTTGTCTAGTCTTGCTTTGTTCTCTGAGATAGAAGGCTCTTTAGGATTGCTGGTCTCCATGACCCTGTTGGTGCTGGCCATGGGGCTGGGTCCATGAGACCGAGATGGGGCATGAGCATGTCCAGGGTTTGGCTTTGTGTCTGCCAGCTTATGCCTCCACTCCTGTCCTCATGGGTGGTGTGGCTGCCCCAGGAAACTGGTGCCATCTGTCCTGGACTGCCAGCTGCTTTGCTTCTTTTTTTGAGGCCTGGAGCACACTGGCACCTTTTCTTTTGGGAACCAGCCACTAACTTCCTCTTTTCTGCCCAGAAACATTCATCTCATGGTACCCCCTTAGAGCCCCTTTAACACAGATTCCTGTGTGGGATTTTTAAAGTGCACTAAGAAGATAGGTGGGGTCATACCATCTGCCCTCTCACCTTCTCCTTCCCTTTCTTGTTTCTCTGTCCTGCTCCCCAGCATGGAGCTACAGGGAGGRGCTGAACTGGGGGCTGGGTACCACTAAAGCTATGGCCACTCTTGTCAATCCCCGGGCTGGCCCTCTATGGGCCGCATATGTGCTGGATCAGCTGGCCAGCCTCTCGTCTATCTTTCTCAAGCTGCTTTTGCTTCTGCCCCCAGGTCCCCTAACCCCAGGTTTGGGCAGGATGCTCCCTCCTGAACTCCTTCCTGCTCCTAAGACCACCTGAGTGGGCTCTTTGCTGCCAGGTGTCGGAGGCAGGAGTCCACAGAGTAGTGAGCCATGAACAGCTTAGGGACTGCAGGTTTTACTCCTCAGGGCTTGTCCATCTCACCCTCTTCCAGTTCAGTATCCAAAACTGGCTGGAAGAATGGAAACTTGGGGAAATGGGAACTTGGGAAGCTCATGCTGCCTCTCCTGAGTGGCCCAGGTTCCCTGCTTGTCATCCTGAAGCTGGCTCTGGAGGCTTCTACTCTTTCAACCTCTTCTGATTCCCAGCCAAATCTGAGAGCCTGTTTCCAGCAGTGCAGTGTGTAGGGTATCCTGGGAGTGGATGCACAGAGTGTGGACCAGTCAAGATGAGTACCTTGGTTCCAGGCCTCTGTGCAGGACAGGAGGGGTCTCCTGACCCAGCCCTGTCCTCCTTCTCTGCTTCTCCTCCTCCTGCCAGTTGCTCTGTTCCTCTCGGCCTCTTGGTCTCAATGGAAGTAAAAGCCACTTACAGTGCCTGGCACAGTGTCTGGCCCCGTACAGGCCATCAGGAAACATTTGTGAGGTGGATAGAAGAGTGAAGCCACATGCAAGGGCTGTCTTTTGTGGTTTAGGATGAATTCCATGGAAGGACAGAGAGAGGGGCTCAAATCTATTGGATGTGCAGCTCCTGTAGTTGGGCTCAGTGAGCCCAGTCCTCATCCTGGGCTCTGACTCCCATCAGGTAGTCAGCAGCAGGGCCAGATCCAGTGATTCCTCAGCCAGAAGCTTCTGGCATGTGCCTTGTCTAGATTCATGCTCCTGTTGTGGTCTTGGGATTCTCCGTAGGTGGGGTAAAGTTCTCTTAGCCTGTGACTCTGTGTTTTGCTAGGCCTGGGTGCTTTATGGGGTGGGGAAGGCAAGGCCAGAATACCAACCTTCCGTTGGTCTGCAGGCTGCTAGAAAGTGGGCAGCTTTTCTTAGTAGTACCTGCAAAGTCCTGTCCTTTGCCTGGCTTCTAGTGGCCGGGCTTTTCCAATGGCTCATTGGCTAGTCGTGAGTAGGGTGGGGGTGGGGGAGCCAGCCCACCTGGCAAACAGGAGCTGAGGCTGAGGAGAGGTTACTCTCCATAGGAAAATCAGCTGCTGAGCAGCCCTAAAACAGCAGGCCTCCCTTGTGTGGTGGCCCTTGCCAGCCTCAGCMTCCTGCTGCTTTGCCTGACATGGGCTTAGAGCCCTCAGATGACCCTGCATCTCCACGCTCCCYGGGCCACATCTCAGCTGTTTTCTTGAGCAGGCCACTTAGACTCTCAGACCTTCTGTCCCTTACCTGTGGAAGGGGTCTGGTAATGGTGGGAACTCCAGGCTGCCCTAAGGGTGGGCAGGCTGAAACATGGAGCAGGCACAGGGCTGGGGCAGGATGGGTCCTCACACCCGTGAGCTAGTGTTACCTTCACCCTCTCTGACACCCAGGCACCGGGGCAGGCACTGAGGTTCAGTGTTAGAGGCATTTGTGGGAAAGTTAGCCTGCTAGGTGTGGCACTAGACAATGTCACATCACATTATTTCATTTTCACAACCATTCTATTAGATGGACAATAATATACTCTCCATTTTCCAGACCATCAAACTGAGGTTCCAGAGTCACTCCATCCAGTAAGTGTGGTGTGTCTGACCCTAGGTCCATTCTCTGTCTGTTGTAACCTGGAGCTCTGCCCTTAAGCCCCTCCTGATGACAGCACTGGGCTGAGGCTCCGCAGTCTTCTCACACACAAGTGGACAGCATGTTCACTGCCTAGCATGGACTCACATGCCTGCACAGTCAGATGTATGTGTAACAAACAGCACTCAGTGTTGTCTGCTTGCCCAACCGCACTAAAGTCCCACTGCCCTGGCTCCTGTCTCCTCTTGCCTCTGCGTTCCCTTCTGTTCTGCTCACTCATTCTTGGGCTCCTCCTTGCTGTCAGAGCTGGGAAAAAACACAGCCCTCTGAATTGGGCCCCACTACCCACCACTTCTGGCTGCAGGCAGGGGCCTGAACACAGAACATCTGTGGCCATGTCTGTGTCTGATCCTATTTTGGGCCTGGTCTTTTGCATGGCCCATCTGGAGTGCTTTTGAGAGCATTGTCCAAAGTGTGGGAAGTTCTGACATCCAGGCATGACTGCTTCCTTCCCAGGTCCTATCCTGGCAGAAGTCCTCGGGCAGCAGCCAGAAACACCTTCAGGGTCACACCATGTCCCTGGTTCCTTGTGTTTCATCTCCCAAACTCATCTCTTCCCTCCCTTGGTGAATACCGCCAGGAAGGAAGCCCCCCTTTCCACTACCTTCTGCAGGATGACCCAGTCCAGGCTGTGATGTTCTTCAGCCACAGGTACCCAGCAGCCTGAGATATTTCTGGAGTTAAGCTGTTATGTATATTATGAAACCAAAGTTCAGGAATTTGAGGAAAATGACCAGATTGTACTGGGCCACCCTTGATTTTTATGTGACAGCTGGAGAATGCCTTGGCCTTGGTCTGCCTCTGAGAGTCTAGGACTCTTGGCCTCTAAGACATCCACCCTGGGTCATCCATCTGCTCTGTGTCCTGCCTTTAGGCCTAGCCCTGCCAGACAGACCATTTGTCCACTCGGCCCTACACCTGACTGAAGCTGCTTTTGCGTGTTGATTCAGACCTGATTCTGAGCTCCACAACTGGCGGTGGGCCCCTTCCCACCTGTCTATCTTGAGGCCCATCCTGTCTCTGAACTCACTCTGTTTTCCAGGGCCCATTCTTGGACCTAAATCCCACATGTGGTCTGAGACCACAGCAATGCTCTGTTCTCCTTGGTTATCAGTTTACATCTGTCTGACCCTTTTATCTGGTTTTATAGAAAAAGTTCGCAGTGAAATAACTTTGGAAACACAAATGTGAAGTTTCTTTGTGGCATTACTTCTCAGTGGCCCCCCCACCTTTTTTTGTGGTCCTGGGGATTGAATCCCAGGCCTTGTGCATCTGAGGCAAGCACTCTACCAGCTGAACTCTATCCCCAACCCTTCTCAGTGCCTTTTTTTCTTTTGTTTTTAGAGAGAGAGAGAGAGAGAGAGAGAGAGAGAATTTTTTAAATATTTATTTTTCAGTTTTCCGTGGACACAACATCTTTATTTTATTTTTATGTGGTGCTGAGGATCAAACCCAGCGCCCCGCGCCTGCCAGGCAAGCGCGTTACCGCTTGAGCCACATCCCCAGCCCCTTCTCAGTGCCCTTTGATCAGCTCTGTGGAGGAGGGCACAGCATGCCGTATTCTCTAGACCTGTTAGTGTCATTGGACCTAACAGGAGACCCACTCTCCTCAGGTTGGCTACGACGTCCTGCCTACTATCCTGTCTGAAAGGGGACAAAGCCCTGCCTGCTTGAGTGGTCATCATGGCAGGTGCCTCGAGGATAGCCAGGCACTGGGGCTAGGATGCAGTGTCCCTGCAGGCCATATGCAGGTGTCTGTTTCCAGATCCCTGAACTCTGCTGGGGAACAGAAGTGGGTCACGGAGGATGGGACATAGTGACACTGGGGCCTGTCAAGCTGGAGCTGTGAACAGGTCTGTGAGGTAGGAGTGAGGCATCTGCAGAAGAGACACACCCAGAAGTTCTGGAGTCCTGTTGGGTTCTGTGCTCCTACTGAGGATTATTTCCCTTAATGAGGCCCCCAGATCATGAGGCTATAGACCTACCCCAGGTGAATGCAAAGACAGAAAGCCAAAGGTGGAGCCAGACCAGAGCGTGGACTCCTTCCTACTCTTGGTACCCATGGATTGACAGAGGTGAGCCAGCCTGGGTGGAGGATGCTGTATTATATTCCTGGCTTTGCGCCAGGTACCAGGAGTCAAGCACAGTGAAGAAGGGAGGGGCTGGGGTTCAGTGCTGGCATGTCTTCCTGGCATAAAGCCCTGGAGTCGATCCCCAGCACCCCCCACAAAAGGTCCTGGGATGATAAGCCTGGACCAGAGATGATCAACGAGGAGGACCTAGGGTAAAGTTAGGAACTGGTGACTCGTCAGCCATATGGGTGAAAAGAGGGAGGAGCTGACAGTGGCTCCTAGGCTTCTCATGTGGGAAAAATGGGACATTAATCACTGAGGTGGGGTGGGAGGTATGTTACCAGACCCCAGTGGAGGGGGGGCCTCATGTGACATTCCTGGGCACATCAGCCATAGCAAGCAGCGGCCCAGAGAAAATGCAGACGATGAAGAGCAGGAAACAGAAAACCCGTCCAGGAAGAGACTGAGGAGAGGGTGCCTCTGAGGGACGTGGATGAGCAGGTTAGCAAGGGGGTCCTGCTGCAGCTCTGGTGACTACCAGGGAGCGGGAAAAAGCCTCACTGGCCAAGAGTCGCTGTGGACAGTGGACAAGATGCAGACATTGGTGGAAGAGACCCTGGGGGCTGTGGATGCTCACTGAGCCAGCTGTCCTCTGGAGCAGGCTGTGGGCTGTGCCTCGTGACGTGTTGTGGCCCAGAGCCCTTTGGGAGGGGTAGGTGTTGTGAGGTGGCTATGTAGGGGTCGGAGCCCCACCRAGGGGGTGGTCAGACAGCCACGCATGCCAGTGGACCCAAACGGGCTTGCTGGAAAGTCAGATGTGGACACTGCTAGGGTCCCTGGCCTGGGGACAAGGTGGGCAGCACTCACCCCCCAGAAGAGAGCACAGCGTACACACCCAGCCCTGTGTGGCGAGTCCTGCCCTCCTGTGTCCTGTGCCCTGAGGCGTGTGTGGGAGGGGGTGGGGGTGTGACCGGCCCTCTCCCCACTCCCAGTGCTCCCAGCCCAGTGCTCCTCTGGGAACCTGGAGCCAGCTTGCCCTTGGCCAAAGCTTCCAGGTCCCTCTGCCAGGCAGGAGGGCTTCGGTGCTACCAAGACGGGCATAGCTTCCTCTGTCCTCCTTGAGCCTCCTGGGTGGGGTCCGGTTGAACCTCCTCCTGCACTGTACTTGTCTCCACTGTTCAGCCAGCGTCCTCCCCACCCCTTGGGCTGTGTACTTCTAGACTCCAGGTACACCTGACATCACAACCACACAGAAACCTCTCCCTTGGGATGGGACCTGGGCAGGTGTCTGACATGTGGTGCAGGTGCTCTGGACAGGGTCAGTGAGTTTGGGGGTGGGAGGCAAGGTGCATACTCCTGTATGAATAACCCGTCTATCCACAGGTATGATTCCTTCATAGTCTCAACCAGCACTGTGCCCACAGTCACCACCCCCAGGGAACCCCAAAGTGTCAGTGGCTCCCTCAGGCCAGGCACCATAGGACCAGAGAGCATTTCTTCTGGTGGTTTTGCCTGTTCCCTGTGGCCACCTCTGGTGTTTCTGGAGCCCTTCTCTGCTGCGGGCCTGGTCTGTCCCCTTCAGGAAGCTCTGCTCTGGGTCTGAACAGTTGGGAGGAGGCAATAAAAACAGGCTGAGGAAGAGACAGCCAGTGGATGGGATATTAATGAGGTTAAGCAGGAGAGAGAGGTCTCCGGAGAGGGGCTGCCTTGTCCACATGGAGATGAAAGATGAACCCACTTTAAGGGGAGGAATGAGGAGGGGCCATGCAGGTGCAGGACAGGCACTGGAGATTTTGTGTGGTCAGGACAGTACCCAAGGGGAACTCCCAACCCACGGGAGGACTCCTTAGGCCAGCCTGGGGTGGGGGATGACAGAGAGAGGCCAGTCAGCAGAGGGGATGTCAGTGGATCACACCACCCAGTGCCAGGTGCCTGCTAACCCACACTGCTCTGCACTGCATAAACAAGAACAGCCCCTGTGCAGGCCAGTCACGGGTGCACTCATATCTGTCAAGTCCACCTGCACTTTCAGATCCCACATAGGTGCCTCCTTTCCCCCAGCACCTCCAGGGTAGCTGGGCCCAACTCCTGAGTCCCTCCCTGCACAGGGTCTCTGGTAGGGGTCCCTGCACCTGGCTGCCCGTTGTGTGGTTGTGACTTGGGCCGTGTGGGCCTGGCCTGCTAACACTCTCTCTCATTGCTCTCTCCTGCCCATCTGCATGTGGCTGCTCTGTCTAGCTGCGCGGTGGTCCCGAGCGCCGGCTGTGTAAGTGAGCATGCCCATCCCATGCCTCTTACAGTCCATGTGCTGTGCCTAGCTGCCCAGGTCTGCTCTGCATGGCTGTGTGGGGCTTTGGGGCCACTGGAAGCTCCTGAGGAATGGGGATGTGGGAGTGGGTTTGCTCTGGAGCAGTCACCCCAGGCAGGYCTCCTGTCATGATCAGGATGAGGTAGGGCTAGAGGTCCTGGGTCCTGGCAGGTGAGGAAGTGAGATGCCATCCGTTCTTGTATGTGTCTGCACATGTCTGCTTGTGAGCCGCTGAGCTCCTGCCATGGCTGCATGTCTGCAACCTGAGTGGGTACCATTGCTGTCATGAACTGTCCTGTGCAGGGAGGCTACCTGTGTGTTGTGGTGTGCTGCGTCCTCAACCTGCACACACTACYCCGTGTGGGGGTGAGCACCTCTTGGTGTTTGTCTTCAGTGTCATGGACCTGTTTAGTCTTGTACCACTGTCAGCCTTTTCCATGACTCAGCTGTCCCTGAAGCTAACCAGGTTCTCTGGGTCTCCTCAGGGCAACAGAGCTATATAGGGGGAGTGGTGAAGGCTACTGTCTTGAGCCTTACCGTCTAAGACACCTGTGGATGGTGCCATGCCCAGAGCCAGTGTTGGAGGCTGGAAGTGAAGGGCAGCTGGCTCTTTGCCATGAGAGGCTGTCTTCTTGGTCCGCTGCTCTTGGAGCCTCCATGAAGTAGGGGGAGGAAGGCACCAGTCTTACTGCTCTAGTCTAGGGGTCCCTGAGAGCAGGACACTGGCTCTGACCCTAGGGGCCAAGCAAAAGGCTTAGGATAACCATAGGATATTCTCCCCAGCCACAGCCCTTCTGGCCCCTTGCCCCACTCCCCCCTGCCCGCCCCATTTTACTTCACTCCCTCAACTGGCCCTGACCCCCTCTCCCTCCGCAGGCTCTTCAGCAGCCTCGGTGAGCTGAGCACCATCTCAGCGCAGCAGCGCAGCCCCGGGGGCCCGGGCAGCGGGGCCTCCTACTCKGTGCGGCCCAGCGGCCGCTACCCCGTGGCGCGACGCGCCCCGAGCCCAGTGAAGCCCGCGTCGCTGGAGCGGGTGGAGGGGCTGGGGGCGGGCGCGGGAGGCGCGGGGCGGCCCTTCGGCCTCACGCCTCCCACCATCCTCAAGTCGTCCAGCCTCTCCATTCCGCACGAGCCCAAGGAGGTGCGCTTCGTGGTGCGCAGCGTGAGTGCGCGCAGCCGCTCCCCTTCGCCGTCACCGCTGCCCTCGCCTGCGCCTGGCCCTGGCCCCGGCGCCCCCGGCCCGCGTCGGCCCTTCCAGCAGAAGCCGCTGCAGCTCTGGAGCAAGTTTGATGTGGGCGACTGGCTGGAGAGCATCCACCTAGGCGAACACCGCGACCGCTTCGAGGACCACGAGATCGAGGGCGCGCACCTGCCCGCACTCACCAAGGACGACTTCGTGGAGCTGGGCGTCACGCGCGTGGGCCACCGCATGAACATCGAACGCGCGCTCAGGCAGCTGGAAGGCAGCTGACGCCCTACCCCCAACTCCCGTTCCAGCTGCGCCCTGCGGGCAGGGCTCCCCACCCCCACCCCAACCCCGGGCCGCGGGCTCGGCCTGCCCCCTACGACGGCGCCCGGGCCAGGAATGTTGCATGAATCGTCCCGTTTGCTGTTGCTCGGAGACTTGCCCTGTACATTGCTTAGTGCCCTCCCCTGCCCTGCTGCCGAGCCCCACCCAGCACACAGAAAGGGCACGGACCAGGGAGGCTGGGGCGGGAGTTGGTTGGGGGTGGGGTGCTCTGGCCTGACCACCACCTTCACAGCTCCGGGTGGCCATTCTCCCAGAGGGGGAAACTAGTCCAGCATGCGAGGTCAGGACACGCCTTGGTGACTCGGGGGGAGGGGGGAGACATTGGGGTTCTAGATGGGGGCCAAGGAGCCCCCTGTTTTGCATATTTTAATCCACTCTATATTTGGAACGAGAAAAGGAACAAATATCTCTGTCCGTAATAGTTCCCGCCCCCTTTTCCCCTATCCCTCCCGCTGGTCCCACTGCAGCTGCCCAGTCTTCCATCTCCGGCCCCTCACTGCCACCCCATACGGGGCAGGGGACACTCCAGCTGGTCTGGGGTTGGCCAGGGTCCTGGCGGCCCACCCTGGGGCCCCAGCTCGGCTCCCTTCCCTGGCTGAGCTACAGTGTGCCCCACCCACCCTTCAGGTGCTGCTCGGGGGCGGGGGGAGGGGGCAGGGGCGGCCCGCATCGGGTCCTGCTGGACACCAGCAGGGCCCTGTGGCCTGGGAGACCATTGCCCTGGGGCTGGGGCTGGGCCCTAGCACTCTACCCCTAGCCATCTTCCTCACAGGGTCTCTCCCCAAGAAGGGGTCCAGCATCCTCTCCATGTTCTTGGGCAACTACAGCAGAGAAGCCTCCCTGCCTTGGACCCCAAAGTCTCCTGTTGTTACCCTGTGTGTGTGCACACCTGTGTGCGTGTGAAACCCGGGTGCCACTAGCACGTGGGAGCCCTGTGTGTGCCTGTGGAGTGGCCTCCTGGGGCTGCTCTAGACTGGTGTGGGGGCTGTGGAAATGTCGGATGGGTGTGTGCATGGGTGTGTGCCTGTGAAAGCACCCCGTCTCCTCTTCCAAAGAAAGCCAGGCCAGCTTGCCCCTGGGCCCTGCTGTTTGCCCAGCCTGTCCTTCCAGAGCCTCCCCAAGCCTGAGCGGATTCGTGGCTGAATTCCTGCTGCTTGGGGAGGCCCAAGGGCCCCCTGGAGGCAGTGCCCCTCTTTGGGCTTCTGAGGGGATCATGGGGTCCCCTAGAGTCATGCCACCACAGGCCCTGGGGAGAGTCAGAGACCCTCGAGGGTGCCCCAGCCCCCCTACTGTGACTCCTCACACTCAGCAATGGCCTGTGGGGTGGGGGGCCTGGGGCGTTTTTAAACCTAGGGTTTGGAGTCTGGACTAAGCTCCATCCACGTCACTCACAAGTTTCTGTTTATATTTCTAGCTTTTTTTAATAAAAAAAAAAAGAAAAAAGAAAACAGAAGTTTTCACAGCCCAGGGGCCTGGCACGCCGGTCTGTGCCTGCCCCTCCCTGGCCCACCGGCCCCCTTCCCTGGGCTCAGAGTCGCACCCACTAACCCTCTCACCAACAGACCAGGTCACACACAGCAGCGGTCACTGTAACAGACTGCCACATACACACTCAGTCTCACACTCACCTGTGGGTTTTCTGTTCCGTTCAATTTGGGTTTTTAACTTTACAGGGTCAGTTCTGCTTCACCCCTCCTTTTGTATGGAGTTCCATCCAGGGGCTTTCACCCCCTGCTCCAGTCCTGAGGCCTCCTGACCCTGACGTTGTGATACACCCCACAGAGATCTATGTTTCTTATATTATTATTGATAATAATTATTATAATATTATGTAATAAATTTATAAGAAATGAAGCCATGTTCCACTTGCCTGTTTGAAGGGATGTTGGGAAGCAGACTCTGTCTCTGACTCTGAGACTGGTCACCCAGTCCCATAGCCCTGACCCATGTGTTGGTGACTCAGAGAGGTGTCTCTGACCCAGGCCTCTGCTGGCCCCCTGCTCAGCTCCTGCCTTCTCCCTGGACTGCTGGCCTCCCATCCAGGCTTCCCACACTGGTCCTTCTCTCTGCTCAGCAGCTCACTGGGTGGTGGCTCCTGAGCTCCAGGCGGGTGGTCCTCCATGATCTCTGCCACTTTTTCATTTTTTGGWTCTGTGGCTCAAACCCAGGCTTTTAACCTCATGCTCTGCCACCGAGCTACACCCCAGTCCCTCTGTCATGATCTTARATCTAGGGCTTGAAACCTCTCTCCAGTGCCCAGTTGTTTATAAAATCTCCAGTCCTCCCTGTCCTGTCCATGCCTGCTGCGCACAGTTGGGCCCACTTCTTTCCCTGGACTCAGGTCTTCGGGTTCCATTCCTGCCCTCTGCTCACTAACACCCGACTGTCTTTGTGGAGGAAGGCGTGTCTCCGCACACCCTCCCTTCGCTGGCCTCACTCCACTCCTGAAGTCCTGGAGCCTGTCTGGTGGCTCAGGGTGGCATCGTGGCTGGTCCCCCTTCTGCTTGGATTGCCCACCTCACCGCCTTTGTAGGTTGAACTCCAGGTCCCTTCTTCCAGGAAGCCTTCCTTCCCTGACYCTCACTCTGCATCCTCACAGCCCTCTAACCTCAAATTAGAGCACGCTGGTGCTTCCCACCTTGGATCACCCCTCTGGGGACCAGCACCTCAGGAATGTGAGGTTTATCTCTTCAGGCTATTTGAACCAGACATGACCTTCAAGGGCACGGGCCTCCTGTGCACAGCCAGCTGCCACTGGCCAATAATGTCATGGGAGACAGCCTGTGTGGCATCTGTGGGGGGGCAGCTCACAGGGTGGGGGAGGGGCACCGGGATGAGAGAGAACAGGAACCGAGAGTTGGGGGTTGACAGTCCTGCTGAGCGGGAGGGTAGAGACCTCAGGAGCCAGGGCTCAGAGCTGTGCCATGCCTGCGGGCAGGGGTTTCTGGGGTCTGTGGATTCTGCCCCTCTGCTGGCATGAAAATAACAGACTGACGCCTGACTCCGGTTGGGGGTTGGTGGTAAGGCTTGGGAGGAGCCAGCTGGCCAGCCAAGCAGAAAGATCCTGGGAAGGGGACCAAACTGGAGGGCAGAGGGAGCCTCCAGGGTGCTCTCTGGGGAAGCAGATGCCCTGCAGGCTGCTTGGGGGCAGGTGACGTTCTGGTGGCTCTGAGTGATGGCAAAGTCCCTCTTCAGGCTGGGATTGGTGACTTGCAGTTTGTTTACAAAGCCCCACAATGACAAATGTTCAACATTTCCAATTTTTTTGTCTCATTTTTAGGCTAGAAACTCTGGTCATCCTACAGAAGGGAAGACCCAGGAAGTCAAGGAGAGAGGCCCTGGGAAGGCCTGCCTGCGGCAGAGAGAGAAGGGACCAGAGAGACTGGTTTCCTTCTGAGCAAGGGTAGGGGGGCTTGTCTTTCATAGAAACAACTTTGCCCACTCTGGTTCCCCCAGGATTTGGAGAAGATGAATATTCCCCCAGGTCAAAAGCCTCAGAAGACAGGTCAGGGTCTTCCAGGACTAGACCCGAGAAACCTGCTAGAGGTGGTATGGAAGTGGGGCTTCGCCAAAGCTCCGAACACCTGAGGGAAGACACTGTCTCCTTCAGGCCCAGGGAGTCCTCAGGAGCTCAGAATCCTCCCTGCTTGGCCCCGGGGACACTCAGACACCCTGGACGAATCTCCTCAAATAGGAGAGAGAGGACTTCATCACTGTCACCTAGAGGAGTGAGGCCTTTAGACAGACCAGAGCTGATAGGAGAAATTTGGAAAGGAGAACTTGAGATGCTCTGGTCAAGGAGATAAAAGCTGTGACCTTCAGGTGGGAAGAGGAGACTGTTCTCCAGTAGAGGATTGGAAACTTTGTGGAAGTTGGGTCATGGAATGAGAGCTCCTGACACTTCATTATGACACTTGAGACTTCAGGACACTCACCCAGTGAAGTGCCACCTTTAGACATTTGGGCAGAGGATGTAAGACCTCTTGACTCTCAGGTAGAGAAGAGGCAACAAGGTGAAACTAGGTGGTGGAGGTGAGACTGACTTCTTGGTGGAGGAGACTCAAGACTCTGGACCTGAAGTGGAGGAGAGAGATGTTCTCACACTTGGGGCGAGGTGAGGACTCCTTGATATTTGAGACCCGCTGGGCATTCAGTGGAGGGGCATGTGACCTCCTGCAAGGTTTAGAGATGAGAAACTCTGTCCTTTGGGTAGAGAAAATAGGGAGAGAAATCAAGATCATCCATAATCCCCAAACTCAGCCCTCAGGAAGAGAAAAGGAGATGTCCCAATAGGTAGACGAGAGGGGCTCTGGTCACACTCCTAGTAGAGGAACAATCTCTTTGCCCTCTGGTAAGCCGGCAAGACTTCCCCTGAGGTGGAGCAGGTAGGTGTGCTCCATGCAGGTACAGCAGATCAGAGCTCCGGACACTCTTTCAGGGGCGGGGAAACATTTGAACATCCAGGAATATGTAATAAACATTTGTCACTTCCTGATAGTCCAGATGCTGTCTCCTGACAATCAGAAAAAGTGATGCTTTGATCCACAGGTCGCTGTGGTGAGAACTGACAGGGAACCATGGAAGATAATCCTTTGCTCCACTTGTTGCACTTAGTTCCCAGAGAGAAGGTCTCGATGTCCAGGGAGGGGACCTGGTGATACTTGGCAGTGAACAGGAAAGTAGACTTTGTAGGCATAAACTTGGGAAATTCAAAATGGCTCTTTGAAAAGTCTACTGATGGCATGTCCTTGGAGAAGGAAAAGGCAGTTTTCCCTACCAGGTAATAAGGATCCACAGATCTTCTGAACCTGACTCCTTTTAACCACGGACATCTTGCACCATCTTGTTGCAGCAGGGCCAAACTGCTCCTCAGTGCTTGAGTCTGCACTGGTTACAGCTGGAAAAGAGACACACCCTTAACTCTCACACAGTGGGACCTTGGAAGAGTAATTGGCGATGAAGATCTTGGCCTTGGGGGTGGAGGGAACCAGGTGGTGTACAGTCCCCAGTTACCCGGGGAGTGGTACCCTGTCAGGAAGTTGGGGAGTCACTTCAGCATGGATCAGTTAAGCCAAGAGGCCTGCCTGGCTTCCTGCTGGGGTTGGGGGGAGACTACCCTGCTGATTGGCCAGGAGGCCACGGAGCTTTGTGAGGTCATGGCCTGCATGCCAGGCTGGGGGCAGGAGTATGGTGGAGATGCTGCCAACTGCCATTCTGCTGGTCTTGGCAGTGTCTGTGGTTGCCAAAGATAACTCCACGTGTGAGTAAGTGTCAGGGGCTCCTTGGTCAGGGAAACTCAACAGGTCCTGCTCAGACTTCCTCTGTCCAGGGATAGGGAGGGGGCCAAATTGGGGCCTTAGCAGTGCCAGGGTCTCACAGACCCAGCTCGGACCCTCCTTGCTCCCAGAACCATCAGTCCAGGGACCCTGGGTCCTGAGTTGTCTCTAGTTTCCCCTAAGAAAGAGCTCTCAGCTCCTAAATCCATGCTCCCAGTTCCCCTGGTGATTGACCCCTCTGCCACTCAGACATCACGTCCTGACTTTCAGGATGCCCTGTCCTCCATGAACCACTGAGATGTCCCCCATGAGCCTGACTCCATGTGCCTCCAGCACTTCCATCTACCTAGAGACTCTCACCCCTGAAGTGCCCCACAATGCCAACAACTCCCCAACCACTCCTGGCTTCCCACCTGGGGCAGTTCCTAGAACTTCCATTTCTGGGTCTCACTGCTCCTAGTGTGCCTCCCCCTAGGCCTGTTGGTCACTGTATCTGCTAGCAGGGATTCTCCTCCTGACACTACAGCCCCAAGATTCTCTCAATCACCTGACTCTCCTACCTGAGATCGTCTCTAAAGACCCCAGTCCATCATCCTCTTCTACYTCCAGACCCCTCATTCCACCTCTAGCCTCCTGCTCTGCCCAGGGATCTCCCATACTTCTAGGGCCTACACAGCCCTACCTATGGCCCCTCTTTCCTTATTTTGTGATCACCTAAGACCCCAAAATAACCCCAAACCACTTCCTGGAGCTGATGGCTTCTTGCGTGCCCCAGGTTTCCCTTTTCGTGGAACCCCACGGCTCTTTCCCACCTTTCCCAGCCCCATATCCCTGCCTCTMCCCGGCTGTGCAGGGACTGGCTGTGCCAATGGGTTTGAATTGTGTCTCCGTCTCTCTTCAGTGGCCCCTGTGGGCTGCGGTTCAGGCAGAACCCTCAAGGGAGCTCGAGAGTGATCGGAGGGCATGTGGTGCAGAATGGGGCCTGGCCCTGGATGGTCAGCCTTCAGGTCTACCAGCCCCACAACAACCGCAGGTACCACTCGTGTGGCGGATGCCTGCTGAATTCCCACTGGGTGCTCACAGCTGCTCACTGCTTTGACAACAAGAAGTACGTGTGGGAACGCCCCGAGGGAGGGCTCCAGAATGCTCTTTGGAAAGGGAACTTCCCCAGGGGCTCTGTGCRGGGGTCTCCCTGGGGTCCCCGGCAAAGTGGCTACTGGACTCTGGTTGGGGGAAGGCTCTCAGGGTTACTCCCCRGGGGGTTCTGTCAACCCATCTGTGAGAACGACTGTTCTACCTTTGTACCCACAGAAGAGTCTATGACTGGAGACTGATTTTTGGAGCACAGGAAATTGAATATGGGACAAACATGCCAGTGAACGATCCTCTGCAGGAGAGATATGTGGAGAGAATCATCATCCACGAAAAATACAACATTGTGACCGAGGGGAACGACATTGCTCTCTTGAAGGTCACCCCTCCTGTTTCATGTGGGCCTTTCATTGGGGTAGGCTGCCTGCCCAATTTTAAGGCAGGCCCTCCCAAAGTCCCCCAGACCTGCTATGTGGCTGGCTGGGGATACATAAAGGAGAAGGGTGAGTGTGGGAAGGGCTCTGAGGAGGGCATGCTGGTCTTTCTCTTGGTGGGCGTGGAGAGGCAGGGATCACACACTGATGCCCAGATGAGCAGTTCTCCTCGTGGTACCATGGGCAGCGGCTGTCACAGTGCCCTTTACAGCTGAAGAAGCTGGGTCTGAGGGAAACTGAGCCCCTGTCCAAGGTCACAGGACTGGTTGCCTAGTGGAAGGCTGAATGGCAGGCACAAGTAGAACCCTGGCCTTTTTTCCTGTCTCTGCCTGGCACCTGGAGCCCCACCTGCTAGATTCTGGAAATGAGGAATGTACACTGAAACCGCATTTAGAGAAGAATTCTAGACGTGCTTTTGTGGCCATGGGCTAGTTTTGCTTCTGTGTAATGATGGCCTCCAAGCAGAACCACTCCAACCTCTGCTATGACAGGGTCACTCTTMTCCACCAGCAGCAGCAGGCTCCTGGCTCTGTCCTTGGATAGTCCTAACACAAACTTCCACCCTTTTCATTTGATCTGCTTGACATTGTCTCTGTCACCTTAGAGGCAGGCAGGCAGTGGGGGGGCTTTCTGCAGGTCATGGGTATTCCGGCATTTTGGGCACCTTGGAGCCATCCAACGGGTCCCTTGCTGTTCATGATGATGGTAGCTGCCTCTCTAGACTTCTCTGCCTTGGCAAGCTCTCTGCCTCTTCTCTGGCCCAAATATCTCACCTACCCAACACTGCCCGACCCACTTGGCACCAGCTGAGTGGTGAGTGAGTACAGGAATCTTTTTTCCACCGCAGATGGGCTCAGCCGCAGAGGGTCCAGGGAGGAATCTAAAGCAACTGCCATTGCTGACTCCATGGTTATGCGGAGTCCAACATCTCCCCATGTACTTGAAGCCTAGGGGTACTCTTTGTCCCAGGGGTAATTGTAGACAGCAAGATTCTGACAGAGGACAACCAAGTGGAACTTGATCTCTGAGCATGACCCACACTCCAGTTTTCCATAAGCAGCCACATAGAATTTCATCCACTGACACTAGGGTGGTGACACAGAAACCTTGCTCTCAGTCTCTTTGATAATAGAAAATTTATGCTTCTTAATTCAAGCAATTCAGTCACTTGGGGCTTAAAACTTGTTTGAGATTCTTTCTTTTATTCCCTTGTTCCAGCGGTTGATCTAGTTCCTGATGGGTTTGTTACCAGTCCTGTCCCTCTAATCTCATTTTCACTGGCCATTGCTGACATGAGACCATCACTTTCTGTCCTAGTGTGCCCACCCCTGTCTCTGCTGCTGATGCTAAAGGTTTTGCCATGGTGTCCAGAGTGAGGACCTGCATTATTCTAGATCACACTCCTTTCTACCCTTTGGCCTGTCCATGGCTTGAAGGGTTTTCTAGTCCCTGGAAGGCTGTTCTTGGGGTCCTCACTCCAACCCCACATCTGCTATCCAATTGTAGGCTCCCAGACACACCTTGGAGGTCARAGCAAGGCCTTTTTGTCCTGGAATCCCCCAGAAATTAATGGGGCATCTCTTGTTCCTTTTTTTTTTTTCAAACATCCCCTAAATTTAAGTCTTAAAGAAACACTCAGGCTCCAAYCTCCTGTGACTCACCGGAAACTTCCTTGTTCTGGCTAATCCTTGAACTCTTTGGGGCTGAAAGAGTACCCCWGAGTGTTGCTTCTTTCCCTTGGATTTTGAGTTCCTGTGGGCTTCTGGCCTTTGTTACTTAAGCCAAGGGGCTGGGATTGAGGAAGCTTTCTTGTGTTTTAGGACACTGGGCATTTCACAATGATTATGGCTTTCAGGACTATGGTTCTGCAGAGATCTAAAAAGTCATCTCGACTGCTAACAACCTGCCATCTCAGTGTGGCCACCACTCCCAGGGCAGGGCACATATCAATCCCTTGCTGCTGCTTGAATAGGAGGACCGGTGGTAGCTGAAGGGATTGAAGAACCAAATCCCACCTGGCAAACACACATCAGCAGTCATCTACAAGATGCCGGCTGAGTGTGCATCCCCGGGTACATGCCTCAAGCGTCTCCTCCCTTACCCTCTGGGCCTGCATGGTTGTGTTCCCGAGGTTGCTCCCTGCCTGTGCTGCGGACCTTCTGGATCTGCCCACAAGGCTGTGGTGCTGCCATGGAAGGGGTCTTGCTGTGTGCACCGGATGGGGGCAGGAGGCACTGGAGGTGGGGCTACGTCTGACCCCATGCTTGCTGCTTGCATGAGCTGGCACAGACAGGCCTTCCTAACCCCCAGGTCATGATAGGGTCGGAGCTGTGAAGGAGACCCAGATTCAGCTCTCTTCTTCCTACAATCTCCTCAAAACAGATCTGAGGCCTGTGGGGAGGCACTAATTAATTAGCCCAGCTCCACTGCTGGAAAGAGAAGTCCTGATGAGGAGTAAGAAGCAGGGAGGCTGATTCCTAGCCAGACGGTGTGTTCTAGACTTGGGTCTGGAGAAGGGTGATCCTGGGCAGATCACAGCTACCCCTTCCCACAGTAGGCAGGTGGCACTCTAGCCCCAGGGAATAACAGGATTAATGATGGGAATAACAGGATGTGACTCGTGAGTGCTGGGCAGATGCCAGTTGTTTTGTTAATGCTAAACTAACCTCCTTAACCCCTCGTCTACTATTAATGTACACACCCACCCACCCTTCCTTCCTTTCCCTCTTCATCCAGAGGACATGGCCCCACTCCATCCCTGGCTGCCCTCTCATTGTGTCTTTCCTCAGGAGTGAATGAGGGAAGGTGGGGCCTTGGCTGATGGATCTAGGTGTGACTAGAGCGTCACAAAGGATGGGGGTTCGGTGGAGGAGGAGGCAGGGCTTCCCTCCAGGTCTGCCTTGATCACTGACCACTGCAGGCCTGGCTGCAGCCCCCAGGCCGTCGCCTGTGCTGATGGAGGCTCGTGTGGACCTCATTGACCTCGACCTGTGTAACTCGACCCAGTGGTACAATGGGCGTGTCACGTCCAGCAACGTGTGCGCAGGGTATCCCGAAGGCAAGATCGACACCTGCCAGGTAACCCTCTTCCTGGTGCCAGACTCCTGGGTCCCTCCAGGGCTCCTCAGGACTGGGAACACCTCTTTTGGGGTCCCTGAGCTCCACTGCCTCTCCTCCCTGCCTAGTGCCCTGGTCCCTCTCCCAGCACTGACAGCCACAATGAAGATGAGAGGTAGACACCCACCAGCTACTCCTACAGAGAACTCCTCACCCCTTTCAGTACTTGACCCCAACCTCAGCCATCAGAACATATCACCCAAACCTGGTGCCTGAAGACCATGCACCCCTCTTTCCCAGAGCTCAAAGCATTCAAACCCACAAGTGCTGGTGGACGCAGGCAGATCTCCATGCGTGCACACACTTCACTTCCATGCGTGCACACACTTCACTCGTCTCACTGCAGGAAACCTATTTCGGTCCCTGCTGCTCTCACTCCTAGCTGAGGCTGTGGCACCATCTCAGATTTCAGCACACCCATCTAGGTTTCTGGCAGCAGGAAACCAGGTGGCTGCAGAAACTGCCCTCCCAGAATCCCACGACCCCCCTGGGCAAGGAGAGTGGCTCAGGCGGAGAGTGACCTCTGTGTCCTTTGGGCAGGGGGACAGCGGCGGGCCTCTCATGTGCAGAGACAACGACCAAAGCCCCTTTGTTATCGTGGGGATCACGAGCTGGGGGGTAGGCTGTGCCCGCGCTAAGCGCCCTGGAATCTACACGGCCACCTGGGACTATCTGGACTGGATTGCTTCCAAGATCGGTCCTAACGCCTTGCACATGATCCAGCCGGCCACCCCACCTCCTCCTACCCGACCTCGGCCTCCACCCCGGCCCATCTCCCGGCCGCCCTCGGCCCACCGTCCCTGGTATTTCCACCAGCCTCGCCCACCCCGGCCCATCCCACTGCTGCCCCTCCGCACTCCAGCCTCGTCTCCGTCCCGGATCCCGGCCCCCACCCCGGTCCCCACCCCCACCCTGCCCCCTCCGCCACCACCCACGCCACCGCCACCGCCACCGCCGCCGCCACCGTCACCGCCACCGCCACCGCCATCTCCTCCGAGGCCTTCCACCAAACTTCCCCAAACACTTTCTTTTGCGGAGCGACTTCAGCGTCTCATAGAGACCCTGAAGCGGAGGGATTATTCCAGCTCCAAGACCTCTTACGACTCGGAGACCATCGAGCTGCCAGGATCCGTATCCTGATCCCACCGGGTTTCCAGCAGACCCGAGAAACAAAAGATGAAATAAACAGAGATTTATTTATTTATAAAATATCTAGACATGAAGAGATGCTCTCTGGACTTCTTTCTGTCTGTCCATCCGGTCCACCCCAGACCTCCATCCAATCCCTCCCTCCTTTCCCTCTCCAACCAGGTGGAACTACTCCTACACCCTGAGAATTGCGTGTCTTGAATCTGAACCGCCAGTGCTGGATGGAGGTGATGGGGTCCACAGGCCGGGTTTAGTTTTTCTCTCACCCTTTAGTGAAACTGGCTAGAAGGGGTCGTCTCTGCATAGGCGATTCAGCTGGGGTTGTGCCCTGAAAATGCTGTGAGCTGAGCTGACTGGGGAAAAAGAGGCAGAATTCAAAGTCTTCCACCAGGAGGCCAAGTTCTCCTGGTGCTATCAGGAGACAGCCAGAGAGGCTGGTGCAGGTGGAGAGAGCTCTCAGAACCTGGGACAACACCACTGTGCAGCCATAACAGCAAATGTCCAGTACAGCACACAGATTGGCTGCTGCTGACTGGCGGGCTGAACATGGCTTGTGCAAGTTCCTGATTGGCTAAATGACTCAGTTCCTGGATTCAGGCAAACTAGAAAATTATTTGCTATAGTTTTCCAGGAATAGCAATGGAATTGAGGTCTACCTTTTGGATGCACCTGAGTGGATTTTGAATGGCTTTCTTACCATTCAGGGGTATTTAAGATCTTCCATGGCCCGGAACAGAAAGTCATTTAAATGATCAGGATGCAAAGACATCACAAACAACCAACAGTAAATGTCAGAAACAGATAGGAGCCATGGCATGGCTAGAGTCTGAAATCTTCTCAGAGTGGCTACAAATGCTCAACTTGAATGGCAGACCTACCTGCACTGTCCCCAGGCTGGGGTCAGGCCGCAGAACTGCTCATATTTGTTGGCCAAGTCCTGGGAAAGAAATCCCGATGGACTCAGGTCAACTACCCTCTTTGGTCAAAGGAGTAAATAAAATTTGACTGCTAGATTACCACTTGTGTTATCAAAGATGGAAGACCCCAGTGAAAGAAGACCCTGGCTTTGGCATTCACTTGCAGGTCCATTCATCAAACTGCTGGTGTGCATGCCAGTTGCAAGATGTCGAATGCCCTGGCTGTAAAGACAGATGGCAGAGGGAAGGTGTTGCAGCAGGTGGGGGCACCCTCTGTGAGAAAGCCCGTGGGACAGACATGGGTAGGGATATCTCAAGCTGCTTGGGAATTCCTTTCTCTGCTTGGCCAAGTCCTGCTCAACCCCTCTAGGCCTATGGGAAGATGCACCTGAGGGTGTGTGACTGTGGGATGAAGATGGGGTGAAGCATGGGATCAGGGCTGGTGGACACTGAATGCCCATGGATGTGGGCTGTCACGTGGAGCCACCTGGTGATGAGCTTCTCATCTGCATTTTCAGGGAGCACTGTGGGGTCACCATTTTCCTGAAATTCTTTAGCTGCATAGGAGGGCTTGCATATTGGTCTGAATGGCCCATAGCTCTGTAGCACTGCAACATTTGGATTAAGTTTCAAAAGCCAAATTCCTTCTGGTTAAGAGCTGGCATTGCTAAGACTGGAGTTGGCAATTTTTTTTCCCTTCCTCGTCCCTCTCTTTGCAGTGCTGGAGCTTGAACCCAGGTCTCATGCATGCTAGCCAAGTAGTGTGTCACCAAACTATATCCTGAACCTCCTAAATCAGATTCTATTTTTTTTAGGGATGAAACCCAGGGTGCTTTGCCATTGAGCTTTATCCYCCGCCTTTTAAATTTGTGTATTTTAAGACAGGCTCCTGCTAAGTTCCTGAGGCTGGACTTGAACTTGCAAGCCTCCTGCCTCAGCCTCCTGTAGTGGCTGGGATTACAGGTGGGTGCCACCATGCCTGACTAAAGCCAGATATTATCTTTATATCTGGTACCAGACACTAGCCATCTTCTAAACACTGAACAAACAAAAGGCAAAGGCCTAGTTAATAGAGCAAGACAGTCCCTGTCACAGGACGCATGATCCAGAGAGCAGCAGCTCAGGACTTCCCCTCATCCACGATGGGGCCATCCTGTACCCTGAGCCAGATACAGCACCAGGTGGGTTACCAGGTGGGTTTCCAGGTGGGAGCAGGGGCAAGGTGTGCTCAGAGGTGTGGAGGGGTTCTGAACAAGTCGGGAGGGACTACAGCAGCAACAGTACTGTAATCCAGAGACCTTGTTTTTATTGTGGTATTGAAGATTGAACCTAGGGGTAATCTACTACTGAACTATGTACCCAGGCCTTTTGATTTTATTTTGAGATGGGTCTCACTGAGTTGCCCAAACTGTCCTTGAACTCATGATTGCCCACCTCAGACTCCAGAGCAACTGGCATTACAGGTGTGCACCACTGCTCCTGACTCATCTCTTCTTTATGAGACTTCTTGGGTCAAGAAGAGTTTTCCTGGTGCTCTTTTTCCTCTTAAATGTTCTAGCCCTTGTCCTAATTTATTTCTCCTTCCTCAGTGAAGTGGAAAGTCTTGCCCTGGGCCTGTCATCCCTAGCTAGCACCCAGTCTCCTTCCTGGATAGAAACAGGAAACAGACACRTGACCACAGGCTGGGTGGAGCATGGGGAGTCCGGCGATGGTTTCTTGTCCACATCTGGAGGCATCCCATCCACACGGAGGGGTTGATGCATGCTGCGGTCCCCTATCTAGTTTCCACTTCATGGTACTCTATGACTTCCTTTTATAGTTAGCAAATAGCTGTTTCCACGTGAGCTGACGCAGGCCCACCTTAGTTCTATAGATGGGTCTCATGCACCATACTTCTTCCTGGCAGAAGCATGTAGCCTTCCATGCCTGAAAATGCTCATCTCCCCATGTCTTAGCCAACATGCTAAGATGCTAAGATCCATTCCTAATCTTTAAAATTAAAACATCTATTGCATTGGCAGAATGTCATCAAATGTGACTTTTTGCCGATGCAATAAATGTTTTAATTTTAAAGATTAGAAATGAATTTTTTTTAAAAAATGAGAGAGAGAGAGAGAGGGAGGAGAGAGAGAGGGAGGAGAGAGAGAGAGAGAGAGAGAGAGAGAGAATCTTTTTTGTAGGTGGACACAACACAATGCCTTTATTTTTATGTGGTGCTGAGAATTGAACCCGGGTCCCTCCTTCGCTAGGCGAGCGCTCTACCACTGAGCCACAATCCCAGCCCTAAGAATGAATTTTTTCATAAGTAAATTGAGGCTCTTTGGTTCACCTTCGTGTTCCTGTGGATATTCTGACCCTGAAAATGGCTCATAGACCCTGGAATAGATATCACTTACATGAAGGCAGAAGAAAAATGGACCAGCCACACAGAACACTGGAACCCGGGGGCCTAGCCTCCGAGGCATGTGCTCACTGCTCTCAGGACCATGAAGCACATGATGAGTTCTTTCTTTCCTTCCTCCCTCCCTCCCTCCCTTTCTTCTTTCCTTCCTCCCTGCTCCCTACCTCTTTCTTTTTGTGCTGGGGATGGAACTCAGAGCCTCATACTGCCACATCCCAGTCCTTACGGTAACAACTTTAAAAGATTAAATTAACAGTGAATGTTATTGCTAGGAAGAATAACAGAAAAGAATTTGACAACAGATGAAACTGCACAGGGCAAAAGTCTGACCCCAGAAAGGCAGCCATAGTGAAGGTCACAGATGCACAGTTAAAAAGATCCAGAGGAAGAGGTTCTGACTGTGACTCTGATCAGGAGAGGAAATCCTAGATTATCTACAAGGGAAAACTGACCCTGATGAGTACCATTTTATTAAATTTAAAATGGTAAAGTAAAGACATGGAGATGGGTAGCCTTCAGTGCCCAGAAAACCGAGCCAGAAGCTGGCTTAATGGAGTCACTGCATGACTGCCTTTTTGGTAAGTGACTACCAGTGACTACTATGTCCCCACGGTGGCTCTTTCTGTGGGCATGTGCTTTCATCTCCCTTGGGTGAATACCTAGACCCGTGAGCAGACCTGGAAGTGTGGGAGGTGCAGTTTGACATAGGAATACACACGAAGCCGCCTGACAGTTGAGCTAGCCTCCACACCTGCCCTCCCACAAGTCTCCTCTACCTGTGCCTTTCTCCACGAGTTTGAATTCCTTAGATTGTATATAAATGGAATCCTGAGCAAGTCCTCTTTTTCCTTTCTTTTTTTCTCTCTGTCTCTCTTTTCTAAGATGGGGTCTCAAACTCACAGGCCCACGCAATCCTCCTGCAGCCTCCCAAGTAGCCAGGACTGTGGGCACACATCACCTTGCCCAACTCAAGCACTTTTTTAAAAAAAATATATACCTTCTTTCACTCACCATTCATTTGACATTTGTTCACGTGGTAGTATGTATCAGTAATTTATTCCTTTTTATTGCTGAGTGTTTCATGGTATGAGTCTACCACAATTTGTTTTTCTATTATATTGGGTTGTTTCCAGTTTGGGCTATGACAATAAAGCAGCGGTGAGCATTCATGTTCATGTATAAGTCTTTTGCATTTTATTTGGACTTATATGCGTTCATTCTGTTGGTTCAGTGCCTACAT